GGTAGATTCATCTGATTAAAGGGGCAAAACTATATAACGAATATATATAAAAGCCTTTAAACAGCTCCCAGCTACGTACCAAGTGTCTTAGCTCGGCCCGCCCCCTTCCGTTAGTCACGGCCTGGACAGTCCTCATGGCACGTACCTGTTTACGTCTTGGATATTACTCGAAATTCGACCCGAGCGAATCCGCAAATTCAAATGCTCTAAAGCCAAGTATTAAATCATTTTTTCCTCCAAAACGGCACGACGAAGTATAATGAACATGATCGTTAATCCTTTATTTTTATGGATATGTATATTAAATCCTCAAAAGATTTCACAGAAGCCGGTCTAGTATAGTGGTAAGTACAGCTCGTTGTGGCCGAGCAGACCCAAGTTCGATTCCTGGGACCGGCACATATTTTTTCAACTTGCACAGGCTTGCGAAACCTTTTTTGTATTTTAAACTATTAACAAATTTCAGTATTGTTGCACGTTGTTGTCGGCATCAGTAACCTTACATTTTTTGATGGTGATAAGCACCAACGCATTGTCGTCACTTGTCAAATAATTTTCTGCCTGCACATCGTCCTTGAACCCGCCATTCAAAAGCAAAGATTTGTAAAGGCTATATGACAGGTCGGACTTGGCAACCACGGCAGCCTCGCCGTCAAGCATGACAGAGACGCTGTTTGTCTCGGCCTTATTGATGTTTGTCAAGAGCTCATAGAGCGAATTTCTCCTTCCTGTTTCCGCCAGTTTCGAAGTGATCCAGTCATGCACCAAAAGTGACACTCGGGGGTTGCTCGTCATGTTCTTGTATTTGGTTGTGTTGATAGGGGTCGAGATGATGATGTAGTGGTTATTTCCTTGGGAGTAATAGGTATAATTCATTAGAGACACGTGGGGCGAATTGTCGAGGCACGTGGCAAGGTGCACAAAGTGCTTGGACTTTAAGAGCCCAACAACAGAATCTGGCAACTCACTGGACATTTTGGGGTGGTAAGTAGCCTTTCTTCACTGACGGATGGCAAAAGGTTGGAAACTTGCTCATATTGTTGAGGTGTACGGGTGTGTGCCGCCAACCAGCAGAAACCGCGTGCGCGCGCCGGGTGACCTGATAAGCTGATAAGCTAACTCTTCTGATACTGCTCGCTTCTTTCTCTAAAATGAAGGTAAGTATATTCACACTGCTTGCTCTTGTGCAAGCAGCTGCATTACAGTCTTCAGAAACTGAAAAAAAAAACAGTCGCTTTTTCCCTGCGAAATTCTGGCCCGATACTGCTAAACTCGGGCCCGAACAAGAAATCTTTGGTGGGGGCCAATCCTCCCTGCTGTGTCCGGTAAACTTACCTTTGACATGCTCAAACTCCACGCCAATTTATGACTCGTGCTGCTTCGAAAGTCCTGGAGGAATCATGCTTCAAACTCAATTCTGGGACTATTATCCTGCAATTGGCAGAAACGACTCATTCACTTTGCATGGTCTCTGGCCGGATAACTGTGATGGCTCCTATGAGCAATTCTGCGACGGCAAACTAAACATTGAGCGCGGGGATATCCGGCGAATTGTAGTTGACGAGTACAAAGACGAGGCGTTGTTCTCGAAAATCGAGGAATCCTGGAAAAACTTCAATGGTGACGACGAGCTGTTGTGGGTGCACGAGTTTAATAAACACGCCACGTGTATCAAGACCATCCGGCCCGAATGCTACGGGGCCGAGTTCACCAGAGACAGGAATATCTACGACTTCCTTCTGATTGCCGTGAATCTATACGAGAAGTACCCCACCTTCCAGTTCTTGAAAGATAAAGGAATCGTGCCCTCGTTGACGGATACGTACACGTATGACGAGATTGCCGAGGCCCTCAGTTCCAACTTCAACGGCCACAACGTGTACTTCAAGTGCAACAGATACCAGGCACTTCAAGAAATCTGGTACTTCCACTACTTGCAGGGCCCATTGACCAACGAGGAATTCGTTCAGATTCCCTCCATGCTCCACTCAAACTGTCCCAAAACAGGCATCAAGTTTTTGCCCAAGGGCGATTTCAGACCGCCGCCTGGCCAGCCTCCCAAATCTCCTGGTGGGAAAGCCGGCACCATCAAACTCTCTGGTCATTCAGGGTGTCTTATTAGCAATGGCCAATGGTATACTCAGGGCACGTGTGCCAAATTCCAAGCCAAGGACCTGCAATTTGGAGGCACGAATCTTGTGAGCTCCAAGGGTGTGTGTGGGGTGACAGAGGCCGGCGTTTTGAATTGCAACAGGCAAAACCAGGCGTCCAAATTTCAATTCCAGGTTGACAAATCCTCGGGCGTGGTGAGCTACGGAGGTAAATCCGAGTGGTGCCTCCACGAGGCAGGAAAACATGGAAGTGGGAAGTTTGCGCAAGTGCCTATTAAATTGGCCGATGGCAACTGTGAAACCTTTCAGATTACGCTCTCTAAGTGAGCCATTGTATTCATTTTTCTGCTCTCGCGGGAAGAGACCGATCATAAAACATTAAACAAACACAATGAATAAGAACAATGTTAAGTGCCTGATGAGAATTCCATAGACATGCTAGAGTTGGCAGCTTCCAGTAGCTTTGCAGCGAGTCACAACTTACTCGAAGTATCATTATTTCGATGCGATACTAAATAAAATCAACGACAGGATCAGTGTCCTTACTTTTGACAATATGTGTAGCTGAAAAGCGGCAAGACCGTTTCTATGATCAAAATAGAGGAACTCGGACTACGTCTTCCACGAAAGCTTCTAGCTCCATGTGCCAAGTAATCATATACATGGTGCATGCTGATTTTTGTTGAGAAAGGTGTAAGTCAGGTTGGATCTAATCAGGTACACAAGTTCTTTTTAAAAATGACAATCTGAAAATACTTGTTTTTTGGTCGTGCACGAAGAGTCGTTAAATTCGACATTGCCGGTTTATGCACCGGTGAACAGAGAAGCTTTCAATCTTGCACAGCCAGGGTCATTTTTAAGCTATAAAAATTAGTAATAGCTTCCCTTCTTGGGGTTTACAAATAAACAGGATTTAGTATTGAAAAGAAAAGGGGAAATCCTTTTTTTCCGGCGAAATTGAAAATCGTGTTGGTTGCTTAGTGGATATATTATTTGTGTCTTTCTGGAAATACGCGGTTTTAAAAATAATAAAGTAAAAATATTGTCTTCAAAAAAAAAAAAAGGATTTGTTTCGGTACTAGCAAATGGGATCAAAAATTCACACCAACCATACTTAGTACTCAAGGTAATTACGGATCTTACATCATTGTGGCCTATTGCCTCTTCTATCTCATTAAACCAGTCGCATGATTTTGATGCCGCGTTTGAAGCCAAAACAAGAGAAAGTGCAAAGCTCAAACCTATCTTCTTCATAGACCACCATACGTTGTAGCATACCATGTCTTGTGCTGAAGACTTTAAGGACGATTTCGGCCCTATCAGAATTGCTACACAACAGGACATCGAAGAGGCACGTCGGGAGCGACAATTGAGATATAACAAGGCCAAACACGATGATTTGACTCATGCTTCCAGCAATGAGCGCCATGTACCCAACTTGGACCCAGAAAAAGGTAATAATTCTGTAAAGAGCCTGGAAAATGAATCGCTGAAAAGACATTTGTATGTGTCGGGGCAAGAAGAATTAATTAAGTATTTAGAGGAAGAGAAGCTGAAGAAAAGGAGAAAACTATATTTATCAGGCCAGGAGGAGTTGGTCAAGTACTTAGAGGAAGAAAAGCTAAAGAAAACAAGCGAAAAAGAGGAACGTTCTCCCGGAGCGAAAAAGAAAGCTTCTTCGAAAAACACCCCATTGATGCTCATTCCAGTTGAGGAAACAGAGCGACAGAAAATATTAGCCCAGCTCGAGACGAAAAAGCGAAAAACAAAACAAAACAAACTTCTTGAAACTGACAGTGAAAACAAAGGGGAAAAAGAGACGAAGAGTGATCCCCAGGGCAGCATATTGAGTATATCATCAGAGCTGGATTTCGAAGACGCGTCAGAAAACTTTTGTGAGGACTTCCAAAACAGGGGGTTCGAGACAACCACTGGGCAAAGTATAGTTAGAGAGGTTCCTCAGAGATCAGGAGAAAAGGAAGACGAAGAACAGCATATTATTGATGACGCAGAAGAAACGATACTGCTGAAAACAATAGAACGAAGTGAGAATGACGCAGCGCACTACAGCAAACCAGAAGAAGGAGACAAAGAAAAGAATCTTGTAGAGGATGAACAGAAAAAAGAACAGAGCTCATGTTTTGAGGAGAACGAAAACCATACCCTGGGCGGTCTCACCTATGGGTCAAGAGATGTGGACACAATGAGGAGGCTAATATTGGGTCAGTTGAACGGAAACAAACCGTTGCAGATCGAAAAGACGTCATTGTTCCCCGCGTACAAAGAAATTTACTCCATTTTCAGCCACACAATCCACGATTGTGAGAGTCACACGGTACTTCTTACTGGAGCATCTGGCTCAGGCAAAACAGAAATTGTCAAGCAGGCGTTGGCAAAGCTACAAGAACTGAGTGGGAGTAATTTCATCACAATTCTGCTCAGTGGCTCTCTACAACCCACGGAGCAACATGCCATTCGTGAAATCGCCAGGCAGCTCGACATGAAACTCAAGAACTTTGGCGGACACACGGACGAAGACACCTATGAGCAAAGGGCCATCAGTGACACCTTCCAAAACATTCTCTCCACCCTATCCAAGCTAGATGATCCCGTGGACCTGTCCACAAAGAAGGGGCTGCTGATTCGAGTCGTATTTCTCATTGACGAGATCGAAAAATTCACGGAAAACCCAAGGCAGACGTTGCTCTACAACCTCTTTGAACTATCACAGGAATCCAAAGTACCCATCTGCATTCTTGGGATTACGCTGAAAGTCACGATCCGTGACTACTTTGAAAAAAGAGTCAAGAGTCGCTTCAGCCAGCGGATGGTGCAAACAAAACGAGCCGATGATATGGAGACCTTTTGGCAAGATGCGAAGGGTTTTCTCACAGTGCCTGAGACAAGCCTCGACTGTTTTGAAAATAAAGATTATCCCAGGCAGTGGAACAAAAAAATGGAGCAGCTTTTCCAGGAACGCCTGGGACTTAAGAGCATTTTCTACACTACATACTTCACCACGAAGAGCTACCGACTGATTTATAACCAGTGCACATTTCCCGTGAGCAAGATCAGCATCTCAAGCCCATTTCCAAAGTCGACCGATTTTGAAATGTACCTGAAAAATGACCTTCGTGGTATCGAGGCCAAAATACTCTCATTGGCACCTCTAGAATTACTCGTGGTGGTAGCCGCCGCGCGGTGGATCGCGAGATCTGACACGCCGCAAGTCAACTTCAAATTAATGTACAGGGAGTACTCCGAGATGATGGAAACCAACAATTTGGAAACAACTACGTTGAGCTCCAAGACGTCGTATATTGACAATATGAGTTTGATGGGCATCAAAGTGGAGAGAAAATTACACTCGCCCAACGTGCTCCAGAGTTGCTGGCGGTTTGTGTACAGGTCAGGAATATTGTTTGACGTAATCTCGAACAACCATGAGGTAAATGCCGCAAACAACCTGAACCTGTACAGGGAATCGATGATTGAAGATTCGAAAATGCTCCAGCTCGACATTTCTTTGGAGGAGCTTGCGAAATTGGTCCCTGGCGATAGTTTTGTGCGGCGTTTCACTCGGTTGTAAAGTTGGTTTCAGAAATATGCGCGCGAGAGCCGTCGGTTTCAGTTTCAGGTTTCAGGTTTATGTACCGGAACAAAAGTTCTTTCTCGCATATAAGGTACCATCCGGTGGGGGCCCACCTCTGGTACGATATCTCTTCAATTTTCATTGAAACATACTATTTTCTTTGATCATCAGAATAAACTTCCTACTAAATTTCTTTGGAACTACAGTTTTCTAAACTTTTTCCATCTCAGAAATTCTCCCAATACATATAAAGCCATGTCGTTAACGGGTGCAAAAACAGAGGTCGTGGGTCCACTGAGGATTAGAGGTTTTCTTGCCAATGGGTTTGAGATTAATGAGCATAACTTCATAGCTGCATTTTCCATCTTGATTATTCAATTGGGACTTTCCGCCGAGAAACCCAAGAAGAAACATATTCTTCCGCAGCTAAGCAAGTCTCATGCTTACAGTTTTAAAGTCGACCAGGCCATCTCAGCCATGGAAAGCTTGTCTCTAAAAATCGACCTGAATATTATCGAGAATATCATTTGTTTTTCTTTCGGGCCAGACTTGGCTCTTAGCTTGCTCAAAAAGTACTTCACGGGTCATCTTTTACACGATCCTTCCTCGAGAACAGAGGTCACCCTTCATTCACACTCGACGGTACAAATTACGCCAAAAGGTACTGCTTTAGTCTATAACTACTGCAAAAGCGTGGGAATGAAGCGCCAGGACATGCCCGAAGTGGTCAAGTCCAGTTTCAACACGATGAAGCTCTTTCAATTTGACCGCTCAAGTTCCACAAGACGGGCCTTATACTCCAAATATTTAAACCATATTCTAATTTCAGAAATGCTTGGCTCTCTGCCTAATGTGTGGTCACCTGAAGCCAAACCCAAGGTTGTGCCGAATTTATACGAGGCCGAGGAGCCAGAAATATCATTAAACACCGACCACATTGGGTTCAGCGGAACTCTGGAAAAACAAAACGGATCAATTGGAGAGTCAGCCAGTCCATTTCACCATCGATATTTTTCCAACCCTGAATCAGATTCTCACGTGCAATACTATGAGTCTTCCTCGGGATTGCGGCTCTTTCGAGACAAAGTATTTCAGATAGATAAAAAAGAGGTATATGTGGAGTACTGCTTTAGTGGAAAAGCTTTCGTGCAGTGGCTTTGTGACTGCACCACACTTTACTGTGCTAGCGAGGCTGTCGAATTTGGCCAATTGATGATTCATTATGGACTTATTATCCCAGTCACGAAATCCAGTAATGGAAACACTTTCATCGATCACAGAGACGCGTTTTACACCTGGAACGAGCTCGAGGACAACTTGTGTCGGTGGTCTTCTCCAGCAAGGTCTGTCAGAGAAATGAGAAAAAGTTCATCTGGCGATAGCGAACAGGCTGGTCCCACAGCCAGAAAATATCAGAGACACGTGTTCCAGAAATTGCTTGCAGACCCTGGTATACGACATTTGTTCAAGACACATTTGGAGAAAGAGAAGTGTGCTGAAAATATAAACGCGTTTCTCCAGCTAAAGGAATTCCAAACTGTCAAGCGTAAATTGTCTTCTCTTGTGAAGCACTACAACAAGACCACAGACGTTCAAAAGAAGGAGAGATTATTCGTGGCCGCAGAGAAAATGGCCAGCAAGTGTCTTGCAATGGCTTCTTATCTCTGCTCGAGGTATTTCAGTGCTGATTCCATGTGCAATTTAAATATTGACTTTGGTTTGCAGCAAGAAGTCGATCGTGTGATTGAATTGATCAGAGGAGGATCCTTTGATGATGCACCACTCACTGATGGTGACTTTGCTGCTTATCTCAAGACTCCAATAATGCAGGAAGAGATGACATTTGAGTTAAAGTCTGATGATAGCAAAGACCTGGCAATCGTTGAGGAGTCGAGTCTTACATCATCTGACTTGACTGATCTCTCAGAGGGTAGCGCGTTGATGGACACCATGCGGGTGCTTGATAAGGTTGAACGCGTTTTCAGTAAGATCGCATACTCCGTTTACAGAATGATGGAGGTTGACTCGTATCCTAAGTTCATTCAGAGCGAGGAATACATGCTAGCGGTAGAAACATTGACACATAGGTCGTAATATGACTATAAATACAGAATTAGAAAAGTTTTCACGAAGAAAAGATTATGCCACAGGGTCCAACGTAGTTCCTTTTTTGATGGTGGCCCAACCAATCAAACGCCAGTGCTTCTCGATTCTTCTGGACAATGCAATCTTCTCATTGACCTCTGTACATGCGGGGGAGGTCAATTGCAAACGAGCCATATCCGCCTTGACAGCGATGACACGAGCACCAGTTGCAGTAGAACCAATGTTGACCATCAAAACCTCTCCACTCTCCAAATTCCGCACCTTAGCACCCTGCTTGGCACCCTCAGTCTTGACACCCAACAATCTTCTCAAAAGGAAGAAATTTATTTCGATGTCTGTGTAAATGGATGGCAAGTTGCCCTTGGAACCAACGACTTGACCAACCAATCTGTCAGCTCTGCACAAGGTAGGGTCGACCTTCGTACCGACACCAATCAATCCACCAGGAACAGCGAACTTCAAGTCGTTGTGCTCGGCGAAGAGAGACACAATGTTGGAGAAGATAGGCTTGCACTGGATCTTACCGTTATCGTCCTTGGTGACAATACCAGGTCTGATTTCGATTTCGTCACCAATCTTGAAGACACCATTCAAGATCGAGCCACCAGCGACACCACCCTTCAAGTCGTCAATCTCCGCACCTGGCTTGTTGACGTCGAAAGATCTGATGACGATCAAGCGGGGCGACGCAGTGAAGTCTCTAGGTGGGACGGGGATGTAGTCACAGATTATTTGGTTGACAGCGTCGATGTTGTACTTCAATTGGGCAGAAATTGGGACAATTGGAGCACCGTCGGCGATGGTACCTCTGATGAAACTCAAGATGGATTTCTGGTGCTCGGACGCAGATTCCTCTCTCATCAAATCAACCTTGTTTTGCAAGATGATCACATGCTTCAATTTCATGATTTCAATGGCAGCCAAATGTTCAGAGGTTTGTGGCTGAGGACAGGACTCGTTACCGGCAACCAACAAAAGAGCAGCGTCCATAACTGCGGCACCCGACAACATGGTACTCATCAAAATGTCGTGACCTGGACAGTCGACAAACGACACGTGGCGCACCAAAGTGTAGCGGCCTTCGCAGCCAGGCTGCTGGCACTTGGGGTGAATTTCCTTGTCGGACTTGAAAGAGCGGTAACATCCCGGGGCCTCACAGGCCTCGTTGTCACACTTGTAGATCTTGGCGTTGGCGTAACCCAACTTGATGGTGATATTTCTCTCCAACTCATCCTTGAAACGGACGGTCTGGACCCCGGAAATGGCTCTAACGACAGTGGACTTACCGTGCGCGACGTGGCCAATGGTACCGATGTTGATGGTGGCCTGTCTGTTGATGATTTCGTGGGAGAGCGGCGTCAATTGGGAGAAGTCGGGGTTCTCTGGCTGCTCAGGAAGCCCGCCGCCTTCCTCAAACTCTCTGCGGGCAGCCTCCTCATCGAACTCGTCTTCAAGGCCGGCGAATGCCACAGACTTCTTTTCCTTTGGGGCCTCCTCGTGATCTTGATCCTCGGCGCCGGACTCGACCTCGTGCTCGTAGATTTCGCTGTCCTCCTCCGGAACAGAGGAGCCGATGACGATGTCCGGGACTGCGTTCTCGATGTCGTCGTAAGACATTTTGTGGTGTGTGTTGTTGGGGGTGACGGAGTGGGTTGGATGCTGTAGGCGTAGGAAATTTTTCCTCATTTTTTCGGTCGAGCCAAGGTCGTGCGCGGCGCGGAAACCTGGTGCGGGTTGCAGACCAGAAAGCCGCTTTAGTGTCGAGGAACAGCCGAAGACGCGAGATCCCGGCAAAGCGGGCGGGACAATGACACCAGAACCGGAATTTGAATGCATGTCGTTGGTTTTGTGCACTTTCATGGGAGCACGAGCGCACTGCCCGGATCAGTCCCAGCCGCCGCCCGCTGAGGCCGCCGGTCACGTGACGCAGGCCGGGCGCGCCGGCGGGCGCTGAAACAGCACGAGCAACCGAACCACGCCAAACAGCCGCACGACGGTACCGAGACGGAATGGGCACGAATTCCAGGAAAACCAGCAAAATCCGTAGAGCCGTAGAGCGGTAGACAGCCGTGGACACCGCAACACGAGATCGCAGAAACCCGACGGGCCAAGCGCGACTGCAGATCACGCGTCGGTCGCCTGGCCCAGGTCGCAGCCTTTCATGACAAAGTCCGCCACCACAGGGCGGTGGTCGCTCATGTAGACACCGCCGAACTTCGAGTGGAGGAGCCCGTAGCCCACCACCTGGAGCGAGTAAGGCAGGGCGGGATCCGCGCACATGGGCTCCGAGAGCCTCCTGGTATCCTTGGGTGCAAAGATATAGTCGATGCGCTTGGCGTCTTTCAAGTACTTCCCGGAGAAGCCCGTCACGGTGTAGTCCAAGTGGCCGTAGCGGCTGAAATCGGGCACGTGGTCGTGCACGTCCACGAAGGCCTTTGTCATTTCGCGGTGGCTGGCGTCGCCCGGCTGCGAGTTCAAGTCGCCCATGACAAACAGCGGCCACAGGTTGAGGCTGCGCAACTTGGCGACGAGAAGCAGCGCGGACTCGCGGCGGGCGGTCTTGCCCTTGTGGTCGAAGTGCGTGTTTGCCACGTTGATGTGGTGGCCCGAAAGCGCGTGTTTCAAGGTGGCGTACGTGGCGATGCGCGGGTACTTGGCGTCCCAGCCCGCCACGGCCATGCGGGTGGCGCCGTCGTTGAGCCAGAACGTGTCGTTGAAGACGACGGTCCATTCGGCCGGGCGGAAGAGAATGGGCACGTGCTCGCCCACGTCCTTGCCGTCCACGCGGCCGCTGCCCACGGCCACCCACTCGGGCGTGCCCGGGGCGGACAAGTAGTTGAGGTCAGCCAAGATGTCGTCGAGCTGGAACTTCAAGGGCTCCTGGAGAAACACCACGGAGTTGGCCACGGCGTTGAACTTGATGCTGTTGATGACCAGCCGCTTGCGCATGTCCCAGGGCATTTCGCCGGGCACCAAGTCGTCGTGGAGCCCGTTTTTGACGTTGTGGGAGTAGAAGCGGAAGGCCACGTGCCCGGCGGCGGTCTGGGGGCTGGGCCCGGCGATCTCCGGGTACGCGGGTTCGGGCACCACCGCCACGCTCTGGGGGGCAGTCAACGCGCTGCCGGGGAGCCCCGGGGGTTTGTGTCCGAGGCCTTGCTTTTTGCTGGGGTCCTTGGGGTCCCTGTTTGGCGAATTGGGGTCCTCGCTGGAAGAGTCAGGGTCCTTGTGGGCCCCAGTGGGCAGTTTGGCCAGGCCCTTCTCCCCATTTGCGGCGGGTCTGGACCCCTGCACAAGACCCCCTTCTGGGCCCTCCCCGTCATTCGAAATAGCCGCCGCCTCCCCCGAAAACAGCCCCAGCGCCTCGGAAACAGGCCCGGACCCGTCGGATCCGGCGCTGTCCGCATCGGCCGTCTCGGGATCTATTTCGCCCAAGTCCGGGTCGTCGTCGGCCAAAAGCGGGGGTTCGTCTAGTGGATCGACGACCTGAGAGCTGCCCAAATACTCGGCCACACGGTCTTTGACAGTCGCCGTGCCGTCGCCCAAACTCAGCTGCGTGTTTTCCAAAAAGTCGGCAAAACCGGACGACTCCGCATATCTCTGGAACTGGGCCACGACCTCTGTTTTTCTGCGGCCCGAAATCACAACGGAGCCTGCCACAAGCACGAGCACGAGCACGGCCAAGAGAAGGCGTTTTTTCGCCAACGCGGGGGCCACCATGGTTGCGGGGATATGCACGTGATCTTTGCGGGGACGCGAATATGTGGAGGGTGTTCGACTGGGCCTGTTTGGGAAATCTGCTGCGTTTCTGCTGAGATTCGGCTGAGCTTTGGGGGGTTTATGGTGGTTACTGTGAGATTGTCTGAGATCCGAGAAGGAAGGGCGCGCGCGCCCATGCAGGACGCGGCGGGGCACACGCGGCGAGACCCCGGGTATGTGCAGGACGGCGCCGTATGGTGGAGCGTGGCATGGGCTCGGACTTGGACATGGCACATGCAACGTTCCAACTCTGGGCGGTCGGGAAATTCGTGAAGAAGAGGGGACGAGATGCGGCGCTTTCTATCGCCTTTTGTTGTTTTTCTTTTGGAATTTCAGGTCTGTTGCGGGGTCGCAATTACACCTGTTGTCGCGCCTGTTGTGCCTCTGTTTATTAAGTGACGGAAGTGATTTGGCACTGGCCCTCTGCGAAAAAAGGTAAAGTTGGACAAGAAAACCCGGGCCGGCGAAGAGCCAAAAGATGGCTTGGAGATAATGTTGTATTTCGAGTCTGAAATATCGTTGATGTCTTCGATCAACAAACTACAATGTATGAGTCTCGCCAACACTAACTCACTCATGAGATGAGCCTGGTGGATGAGCTCCGATATGGCTGATGATGAGTGCCACTAGTGAGTGCTAATGGGTCTTTCTAGTCCTATTATTGAGTGCAACTAATGAGTGCTGTTAATGAGTGCTAACAATGAGTACTGCTGTTCTCTATGAGTGCTACCACTTCGAGCTGCTAATTGGTGCTGTTAATCAGTAATTAGTGCTGCTAGTGAGTGCTGCTAATGAGTGCTGCTTATAAATGCTACTGATGAATGCTGCTGATAAGTACTCTTAGATAGTGCGATGAGTGCTACTATTTGATGATTTGCTCATTTCCAGATCAGTCTTATTGAGCTTTTTAAATTCCCGCCTCTATCTATATGAAAAAAATTTAGCAGGAGGAGGAAGCCTCGGTGGCCATAAATTGCGCAGATTATCTATTTTGAGATTGAATATTACCTGAGTCAATATGAAATATAAGAGACCAGTTTAACCAGAAGAGACTGATTCCAGCCAGTAAAATTGGAGACGGATACTAAAATATCAGTTTTTATCTCTGTTTATGTCGTGAGAGCCACGGCAAGCAACACCTGGGCCTTGGGTGCAATTTTGTCTCTGGCATGTTGAATACTGACAGAATAGTTCCAGCCAGAAGTTATTAGCCTGTTAATGAAATCTATGAGGTCCATAATAGGCTTTTCAGAACCCCGATGTCTTCTGTGTATCATCGAACCCCGATAGCTCAATAGACCTACTCGGAAATATTCTCTACTGCTAATACCGGATACAGGAGTCACAAACGATCTTTGACCATCGCTCCGCTAAAATGTTTTGAAGAAGCATCTATCCGATTTTCCATTGTGTCAAGAAACTCTCTACTGCGTGAAATTCCTAAATGAAAGAAATCAAATTGTAACTCCACAAAGGGTTGCATGGTTTTGATGAGGCTATGGTGGGTGAGAGCATGGGGCCGTGCCTCAAAAGCATTCCCGGTTGATTCATCAAGACTCGGCCTTATCGAACAACAAGTACTTTAGTTGAAGAAATTCTTCAATATTATCAAAATAGGCACAATTTCGGACATGACTTTGCCCCCATTTAACTGTATTTTGCGATGGAAGCTCCCATGTCCAACTCAGTATTGGGTGTGTTGCCTGTGCATGGCACTGTTTTTTCAAATGTCCTTACAAGAATTTATATTCTCCCAACTTGTAGCTGCATGCTCAGACAATGGCTGCTTGTGCTTGTTCGCTTCCATAAATCTTCCCTATGTTCTGTGCGCAGACATGCTACTATATACTTCACATACCAAGCAAACCACAATATGGTAGGTTCAACGAGCCACTATCGGGTGGCCAGGAACAATCTATATCGTGTTTAATTGCAATGACAGATGGTAGTCCCAAGCACACGTTTGAATATCACAGCAGGTTTCACAGCAACAATCGTATGCCCCGGTCTCCTCTAATAATATATACATGGTCTACTCTTCGGGCCACCACTCCGGCAAGAAGGCCGTCAAGCCAACAGAGGCGCCCCCAACTTTCATTTCAAATCTGCCGTCTTTTTTCACGTCGTCCACCGTTGCCAACAAAAATCCGTGGCTGCCGTGCACAGAGAATAGTTTGGCCAATTTTCCTCTTCTTCCAACAACACCAGTCAGTCCAAAAGGCGACAGGGCAACCACTGGGGACGGTGTTGCAGGCTCAGTAGCACTAGAGGCATCCGGCCGGGAAATCTCAACCGTGCTGAGATCCACGCCCCCCATCAAAGCCGCCACGTTCTGATCAAATTCCACCGGCACAATTCTTTTCCGGATCACGCCGCCATTGTAGGTGCGGATCGTAAGTTCCTGGCCCACGTAGCAACCCTTCTCGAGTGAGAGCCCATTGACATAATCAAGATTGGCCTCAAACGGGAGAAGACTTTGACCTTTGGCCGCGTCCGACGTCTCGAAAAGGCCATTGATATACCTTCTTTCTGTCACGTGTTCCTCGGAAACCTGCCGGGCTCCGAACCGGGCCACAAACTCAGGCGCGAGAAGCGACGACGGGCTATCGATTGGAACGTTGGTCAAGATCTTGATCCCGAAATTCGGGATCCTGTTGTCCACAGCAAGCCCAACCACGTGATCTGCATAGTTCGCCAGAAGGAAGCCTGCTTTCTCCACGAAAAGAGCGGCGCTGGAGAGAGCGGCGCTGGGCTCGGCCGTCTGGAAGTACTCCTGTTGGACGTTTTCAAGCCAGTCCTCAAACTCGGGCGTATCGCTATAATAGTAGTACGAATATATGTCGGCCGCCTGCTCGATTTTCACCTGTGCACTGAGCTTGTGGATCTTGAGCATGGATAGTAGTGACCTCTGATATACCGGGCTGATTTCTAATAGATAGTCGGGCCCTTTTTTCACGGTCTCCTGGAACTCCGGAGTCCTGGAATGGAAGGGCACAGGAAAGTTGAAACATTCGTTGATCACGCGGCCCTTGGAATTGAGAAGCATCGAGAAAATCCCCGTCCGGGTCACATATATATTTTGCTCCGGGTCGTAGATATCCTCGTGCATGACCCCCCAGTTTTCCAGCAAGTTCACGGTGTTGTTCAAGCCAAGGTGTCTATTTTCATTGGCCGAGATCGTGTGCTGTTTCTTTTTGACCACATTTGGAATAAGGCGCGTGGTGAGGAGTCCGTTTAAAAAGCGGGCCGCATCTGGCCCACGTACACGTAGGAGGCTTTTAGAAAGTTGCACTATTTCTCCCATACTGCCCTGTTGAAGCCGGATCTTTCAGTGGAGAAGCGGCGGGCAAGATGACATTGCTGAGGTAAGGTGGTGCATATAGCACGCGTCCACCAGGTGCTTACTACGTGAGTTTGGGCGCGTGAAGACTGACCTATGTTGGTAAGTGGGTTCGAATGTGCGGTTCAATTGTTCATACTTAGGTTTTTTTTCTTCCTCTTTCCAAATCTTTTTGGATGGCTTGAAAGGGTGAGGATTCTATGTTATTGCTATGCTATTTGGTTTTGTCGACACAAATCGCAATCACAATGGGTGGAGAAACGAACCTCGCCACCTTGTCGTCTCCCCTCTCATAAATAAATATCAGTAGCCTCTTTCATCTTCTAATTCAATCCTGGACTAGTCAGCCAATTTAGTGGCAGAATCGTTCAAGCTTGCCAGCAAGCGTTCTCTGATTTTCTCACCGAGTGACATCCGCTCTCTCATCTCAATGGCCTGGTTGAGCTTCTTGTTCATTGCATGAAGATTCAAATGCGACAGGCGCTTCGAGCCGTTTCTTGACCCAAAGGTAGATCCAAGGTGCAGGCGACTATTCAATGACAGCTCAGCATGGGAAAGTTGGTCATTTCGAATCGTGACCTGTCCCATATCAAAATACCCATAGCCACCAAGGTATTTATAGTCTTCGTCCGGCAGGTCTTCTTCTTGTTTTATGGGCTGGTAGGGCTCATAAGTTGGGGTGTCCAAAATGATCTCGATTGGGTGTTTTGTCAGAGAAGAGGTCAAGTTGATCTTGCTCAACTCCCGCTGGATACGAATAGACTTCAACTCTTGTCTGCGGTTCACGGAGTCAGCCAGTTCCATCACGAGGTCAGCCTCACCGCTTACAATACGCTTGATCTCCGACATGAATGATTTGAAAGTGTCCAAGAGCCGCTCAGTTTGACGGTATTTTGAAGATACCGTAACCATCACACTGTCTTTCTGAATGATGTAGCCAATGCCGAAACCTTGGTCAATAGATGGCGGAATGCCAAAAAGCCGCAAGGCCGGGTTTCCACAATTCAGAATCAAGAGCTCTGCGTTAGTCAACTTTTCAAACATATCACCAAAGAGAAATGGAAAGCTTGCAGACACCGATTGACCCAGGATGGAAATAGGTGGGAGCGATGTATCTTTGTTCACCTCGTTTAACTTTTCGATGGCACCTGGTCTAGTAAGTGCTTGATAGAGCGCGTTGAGATGGCGCTCGAAGCCCTTGCCCTTCATGGCGTCACGGTACAGCGCTGTGTGGATCTCGCAGCATGCTTTGAACGCCTCCCACTTTTTGGTGTTGTCGTCAGAGGTGATGTACAATTTAACGAGGTTGGAGACCGACTCGTTCTGAACGGCAATGAGTTCTGTACGAGCGTCACGGAACTTACGCGTGGTAATAGGCTCGAGGGTGTTAGCAAGCTTTCCGTACAAGGCGTAGTATGCAATCTGGAAGCCGATTTGCAACACAGAGTCGGTCAGAATGTTCATTTTCGAGAGCAACGTGGAGTCGAGCTTCAAGTTCAAGGTGCGGTACTCGTGCTGGTTGAGGAGATCAGCCAAGCGGGTCTCAGACAAGTGCACTAAGGTGGAGAGTTCTGGGGTCTTTTCAAAGCGCAAGACCTTGGCGGTGGGCTTTTGCGGCGTCGCTGCCTGCGAGACGAAGCGGATGTTCGTGTCAAAAAGCGTACTCTCCGCGCCGTTGATGTTGCGGGCGAGCTTTAAAATCAGGTCGGTGTAGATATCGCTGATGAAGCGGAGGATGGCCGTGCTGTCCATGGAAGAGGATTCCCACACAACACCCGCCACGGCATTGGCAGTCACTACGAGCTGCAACTTGTCATACCAGCGCAGTGCACATGAGCCTACCTGGATGTTAGTGCCCTCGGCGAGAATCGACGTTCCAAAAGAAATGGCGCGTGTTTTCTCCTGCTCGGTCACGGGCGAAATCGTGGTGTCGAGCACCGCAACAAAAAGCGCGTTGTCGATCTTCTCCAACGCCTCCGGGCTCGACTGGGAAAGCTCGAGACGTGCATTGCCCCACACTCCATACGTCTGTGTGGTGATGGATCCAATGCCGTTGTTGACCGAGGCGACACGATCCACGGCAGATGCGTCTGTGATGATGGACTGAACGATCGACGCAAGCTCTGTGTCGCTAAACCAGAGCTGGTGTTTGCTCGTGGCCAGAGCATCTTCGCACTTGGTTAAGACTTCCAACGTGTAGAACTGGTTGTTGCAAATGAACACCACGTGACGTGACTCGTTGAGCTCGCGGTACTTTTTGATCGTCACCAGGTGGTGCGGGGCGGGCACTCGGGTGGTGCCAAAAATGTTGCGGTAGCAGTTCATGGTGAGCGGCTTCCCTGCCTTTGGCGTGACGTCCGGCTTTAAGGTGCCGTTGCGCATTGTCACTATGAACTTGAGAGACGAGTTCACAAGAGACGCCATCCGCTGCGCCTGATTCGGGGGGTTGATGGTCATGGCATATGGATCCTCCTCGAGAATGAGGTAGGGGTTGCGAGGGAGAATGTCACCCCGGAGATCGCCATATATGCCCGGGTAGCTGGCCCCGTTGATCACGTTCAAATAGCACGCTACTTGCGGGTTTTTGGCTGCTTCCTCGAGGTGCGCCTGGATACACGTGATCCGCTCGTCTTGCATGAAAAGAGCCGATTCCTCAAGCAACTCCTCGTACTCCTCTGCGGTGAGGAGCGGCTTCAAAGCCACCGAAACTTGCGAAAGCGTACTCTCAAGCGACGGCACAGGGAGTTTCGGCACGTTGTCTTCCGACGCAAAAAAGTGGGCGTCCATGGTGAATTGATGAGGCTGCTTGCTAAATATCGCTTGCTAGTGGAACCGTCGTGCCTGATGTCTGGACCAGGGTGGAGGATAATAAAGCGAGAGGGTAGCTAGATACAACGATGAGGATATTTCGTATAACCGTTGAAAAGTTGGCGTAGCAATGTATGTGCTTTATTCCTTTCTTTTTCTGAACCACTGAATTGGTGGTAGAATACGGAAGATGGGGTATTTAAGCTAAAGTCGCCAAGGAGCAAGAAGTGTACCCCACAAAGTGGCCCGGTCCACCGAAATTGCGGGGGCGGCATTGTATGCAGGCACACCTTAAAGCCATGGAGTGAACTCCGGCGGTCCGAGCCACCACAATCCCGGTGTGCGAGGGCCGTATACGAATACACAAAAAACCCCTGATTTTGGGTTTCGTCATATTTGGCGCCGGCACTTCCAGGTCGGGAATAAGGATCACAATGTTTTGGCCACGTGCGAGTGGAATACCAGGTAAATTCCGTGAATGCTTGGCACCTTGAAATTTCGTGAAGAATGCCTATACTTACTCCGATGGGCGGCGAGGTGTACTGGTAGTTATTATATGTGTGCGGGAATGGCAGTGTTGTTTGTGACGACCAAAGACCCCAGGGCACGTGAGTTGCCTCACGTCACGTGACACGGTAGAGGTTCCAGCCAATACTTATTTTCTTGGGCGATCGGGGAACCCAGCTCCGCGGTTTTTCTTTTTCCTTTTTTTTTTTTTTCGTTCGGTGTTTGAATTCATATCCCGAAATTGCAGACCACGCATGGCTGGATTTGTGCTCTCAACGAACAATGTGGCAGCCAAAAGTAAGGGTTTTTAGTGATCGCTTAGTGTTAAAACCCACTTGATTTCCTAGCCCAGATCCGCTCACCAAAAATCGAGACAGAAAACTCTCCAAGAAAGTCCCACCTCTCATCAGATGCTTTATTTTTTTTGAGAAAACAAGCCAGGCCTGCTGGGGGCGGCAGCAAGCGTCATGCGGGAAAGCCCCTCCGGGTACGTCCGCGAATATACGGCATACAGATAAGGCTTGCAGCCAGACTAGTCACCCACAGGGATCCAATGCGCGCGAGTCGCAGATGTCGGCACACATACAGCTTTTGTTAGTCAATGAATATTCTGATCAGAAGAAAACTCGTGCCTTCAGAAATCTCACTACCCTGACCCAGTAAAGCCTTAATTGTGTATTCGGCTTGACTAAAAAGTTGAGAAGCCTAAAGGCCTGTCTAAAAAAATTCCGTACGACACACATGAACGACTCGGGCGGCGCGCGCTGGCTGCACGCCGCGAATCGTACCATATCTCTGAAAAAAAGATTTCAGGCGGCACATGATAAAGAATCTATGATGTGTATTTCTATGTTAAGCCTCGTAAATATTGGTGGTAAATGAAAGAAACGTGCGAGCCGCGGAGACTGCAATCCCATGGGCAGTCCTGCGCACAGAGTCGACGAAGTGAAAGTGCAAGTTCGAAAAACGCAGATCTAGTGCCGAAGCAAAGGGGGAAGCAGAATCTGCGGTTGCATGTGCGACATTTGGTCGTATGGGCGCATGCCGGGTGCAACCGAGTACGTCTGGTTGGTGAGCGCCTGCGGCTGCTGTTGGTGGTAGAAAGGAGGGGCCGGATGCATGTGCGGGTACTGCAATGCTTGACGATGCTCCTCACATGCCTCGCGTTCCTTTTCTTCATCCATGAACTGCTTAATGCAGAGATACCCGGTCTCTGTGCGGAAATGACGCGAGAGAGCGTCAGAACGAGCGAACTTCTTGCCGCAACCCCATCGGGTTACTCCGTTGCGCAAGTAGCCCTCACACTTGAAATTCTTTTGCCCGCCGTGCAAGTTTTCATGGCGCTTGCGATCATGCGAGCGGGCAAACGTTTTGGGGCAGAACAGGCACTTGAATGGGCGTTCGGTGGAATGTGTCTTCATATGAGATTTCAAATTGTAGGGTTTCTGGAACACCTTGCCACACACCTCACACACGTTGGCAGACGGATCGGACGTGTGTGAGTGTGCGCCTTTGCCATTTTTGTGAGCAGCAGAATTAGGGCTGATACTAGAGGACAGTGATACAGGCAAAGATTTGGATGTGCCAGAGCTTTCAGACGAGCTTGCATCCAGAGCTGCAGCGTTGAGTGGTTTCATCATATTGACCACCATGCCTGCGCGTGGCGGTCCCTGGTCGGCCCTCAACTCACCACGGTTAGGGGCGTCTGCAGATCTGGGCACTTGTATCCCGGTTGAAGAGGGCTGCATCATGTAAGGCACTGCCGAGTACTGAATGCGGGCCTGCTGCATGGGCATGGTCTGGCCCTGGACTGGGTGTTGGAACTTCATGGTGTTAGCCAAGGGCGAAACCAGTTCGTCATTCCGCTGCGATGGTTGTCTTGGAAAAACCTGCCAATTTACCGGCGCAGGTGCTACCTGTGGATATGAGAGTTCTGGGTTGTAGTGGTATTCCATCGCCGGCATACGTGGGGGAGCCTGCTGGTATGTCTGAGGGTAGTACACTGGCATGTGGCTTTGGTAGGGTACTTCAGGCATGGGCTGATACGAGCGACTCATGACACAGATGTGCTTGGCAGGACAAGGAGGAGGATGCAAAAATGATGGTTAATTAAGAAAAACTGGAGCAAAAGGGCGTGCTTGGAAGGTGACAGGTGGGCTTAAAAAAATGTCACAGGCCGAGGGATTCACGTGTGCTTTATATCTGGGCGGCGAGATCGTTACGAGATCCCGATGTATGCATGCGCGCAACCAACAGGTACGGCATCGGTGTTTGAAAATCGGGCTCATGCCATCCAAGCCCGCGGACATGGAGCAACCCTGCACCCTAAGGGAACCTCAGCCTTTACCCTCTGCGGGGCGGAGTTGGTTCAAATGTTGAATACCAATTAGTCTTTGAAGAATAAGCCTTGTCGCTAGCTCGTACTCGGGATTTGAAAACATAGGGTACATACGAGGGCAAACGTAAGCGTCCGGACTTGCTTTGCTGGACGGGCCAGAATTCAGAATCTTTGTGCCCAATGTGCAGGGGACCGATCTTGGCAAATCAGAAATGTGCCGAAACACCCTGATAGTTCTCCCGCTGTTCATTCCATGTTTTGCCTGGGATAGGGGGCTCATGGCAAGGAAGTGCATAAGCCCCGCTCAGCACCGGGAAGAATCGCGGACATTTCGATTCAAAACACGCATGCAGCATGCATACCGGGATCCCAGACAAAGCCTTGCTGCACACAGCCGGGATTTGAGAGCATGCGAGGATAGGCGCACTATCGCCGAGCGCAGCGCTCATTGTGGTTGGCGGATGCGAAAATGGCGCACTGACGCAAGCGCACGTCACCCATGGAGCAGATAATTCGATGGGAATTGCTTTTTTTCTCCGCGATCGCAGTCCTCTATGGCTGCACACATACGATGTTCGTTTATTTCTTCGGCAGTCGATACGGAGTTCAAGGCGCTTCGAAATATCCAGAGACTTCGGGGGTGCCCCTGTCTTGGTCTTGGGCGTGGAATGCACACCCAAAGGAGGTGCGTGATCATAAAATTTACGCGTTTGTCCCTGTATACACATGCACAAACCATGACATAGGCATGCCCGCATCCAGACAGAGCGTCTGCACGATCCGGCGCGGTGGTCCAAATAGGCAATGAGACGCGGCAGCAGACGCAGGCCATAGCCAATCGCACGCAGTGGACGCTTTAGCCCCACGTAATGAGACTGTTCCCTACCCAGTCCAACTCGAAATCAGCAGAGCTGCAGCCGTACTTTCTCAACATGGGCAAGTCTTCCATGTCCGTGAAGCTCAACACCTGCACGAGCCTGCCATCTGACGAGATGGGCTTCTCCGTGTGGCTGTCATAAGCCTTGGGCAAGTAGTTAAGAAAGAAGTCGTGTAGAACAGGCTTGGGAATGCTCGTCGGCAAGTCATTCACATTCACGTGAACAGAGCCTCCTTCTGCGCCCACAGCCTGTTTCCGCGCCACGTAGACGGCAGCGTTCACTAGGAGATCCAAGTCCTGGAAATTGAACCCGCCCATTTCGTTGAGGCCGGTGAGCGACGATTTTCTTCTGGGAGGGCCCGGATGTCTGGGCCCACGGGGACCGGCCATGGCCGCAAACATATCCAATTTCATCTCGCCCATGGCCACGATCGTAAACTCCTTTCCTTTGAGTGACATCCACAAAATGTAGAAGGATTTCTGCTGCAATTCGTTGGTGAGCACGGCGCCGTAGTAATCGGCGTACCGGACGTTTTCCTCGCTGCCCACTTTCAAGGCGGTCTTTCTAATGCCGGCGAACTTCTGGTCGATCTCGAGCAAATTGGGCAAGATGGCGAATTTTGGGCACGCCAGCAGGAGGATGGACGACTGGCGTCTCTCGCCCGCAGAACCGGCAGCTTTGTCCATGGCCGAGGCCAGCAGACACTTGCCCGTGGTGCCTAGAAACGTCTCTTTGAATTGGGCCATGATGTCCGCCGTCTCGCTGGACGAACCCGGCCTGCAATTCGAAAGTACGGAAGAGAGATTGGTCAATGACAGCGACGAGTGCAGGTCGCCCCGAAGCTCCGAGTGGTACACGTTTCTGTTTAGGTCCGTGAGGAGCTCGAGCTGCCTCCCCTGCAAAACGAGGTCGATCAAGTTCCGGTCCTGCGGATTCTTGCCGTCAAGCAAACGGAGTGTTTTCCCCACGTCCGTGGGGCGGTCGGGCGAGAGCATCCTTTCGACCAACTGGCCCGTGCTGCCCCGTGCGAGGTCGAGGCTGATTTGGTAGCCCTCAAGGGGATACGCTTTGAAGCCGTACTTGGTGTAGGCCAGGCCTATTGCCGAGTACAAGTACCACACGTATTTCTTGGCCAAGTAGTGGCGTGCTAGGGTCTGGTCCACCCGGCCGCCCGTCTGCACCATCAGCTTGAAGCTGTCTTTTCTGTCCGAGGACTTGGCAAGCTCCTTCTTCAAGATCTCGGCTTCCGTGTACTCAATGGCCTTGGGCACGAGCACCCCCATCAAGCCGCTGCCTCTGGCGTCTTTTGCTACAAACACATAACTAAGCCTGATGGCTGTGGCGTTGTTGACGCCAAACAGCGAGGGGTCCGGCACCGTGCCAATGGTGCTGACGCCGGCCTCCTTGCATAGGGCCTTGTGCTGAGTGATCACGCAACAGGCAAGAATGTCGCCAGTCTTGGACTCTAGATAAAACGCGCGGCCTGGGTTGCCCTGCAAAATAAAGTCCACAAGCAGCTTGGCCTCGATTTCGCCGAATTCGGCTGCGCTGAGGAGTCCCGACCACTCGGTGCCTGGAAGCGACAAGATCTGCTTGAATTTCTGCGGCTCCACGGTGGTCTGGAAACGGTAGTCACGAGTCATTGCAATTTGATAGACAGGTGTACGCTATATCGGGGCACTGACGCTCTGCGGATGTGCTCTATGTAGTTCGGGATTTCTTGAAATCCACACGAGAGAAGGCCAACTGCAAACTTACAGGAAAGAGTCTGTTTTATGGGCGACTGGCGAGGGGGCTGGATTCCGGGGTCGAGTGATTCACCTTGCAGGCCTCGTGTAGGTCGACATTGCGCTTCAGAGACGTGACCCCGCCCGCCTGTCTGCAGTCGTGCGCGCCCATGACACAACTAGCGGTGGGGTGCTCCGAAAGCCGGCGGCCGGCACAGGGGAGCCCGTTTCTTTTTCCTCGCACCAGCGGGTTCGCGCGGCAGCTGCAGGACCCTAGCCGCGCCAATCTCCGTTACCGGCTCAATCTCTCATCGGTGCCGGTGAGGCTTGGCATGATGACATGCATCTATGAGTTGCACCTGCTTGCTTTAGTTCCTTGCCACTCTGCCAGCGCGCCAAATAGAGACGTCAGAAATGCACACTTTGGCTTGTCTGTAATTGGACCGAAGTCATGGTCTGAAGGATCCCGGCCGGGTCCTCGCCTACTCCGCGAATTGCTTTTCACCCGCCGGGAGCCGCGTAGGTCCCAAGAAAAGAAACGCCCGCCTTCCGGCTGCACGCGCCCCAGCGGCCTGAACCGCATCCATGTGTGCAGGAACACGGCGTTCGGCTGCTCATTACTAAGGCAATTTGCGGCCATCCTGGCGGTTTGACAGCAGCATAAAAGCTTCCAGTGATCCGCCAAGGGAGGCCTGTTCGGTTAATTCACACCCTTCTCACAACAAAGCCAAATCTGCATAATGTCTGCCGACACCTCCAACGAAAAGGCGTCGAGTCTAGATTCGCAGTACGCGTCGTTCAGCGACTCTTCGCAGCCTAATAGATGGACCTCTTTCAAAGACAGCTTCAAGCCCGCAGACAGAACCGGAGCGGCAAACGCCGATCTCACGTCCTTGGAACGCGCCGTTCAAAACACAGCCGACACCAATCTCGTGTCATCAATTAGCCCGCTTTCGCAGGCGTTTATTGCCTTGGGTGGCTGCGTCGGCTCGGGTCTTCTTATTGTGTCGGGCCAGTCACTTGCAAATGGCGGGCCTGCCGGAGTCTTGATCGGCTGGGCCATCGTGTCCCTGTTCTTGTACTGCGTCATGCAGGCGCTTTCCGAATTGTCTTCTGCGTTCCCCGTTTCGGGCGCCTTTGCCACATACGCCACGCGGTTTATTGACCCATCCTGGGGCTTTGCCGTCGGCTGGAACTACGCCATTTTCTGGGCGGTGGTGTTGCCCTTGGAGCTCGTGGCCGCGTCGCTCACCATCAATTTCTGGCAGTCGGACATCAACTCCGTCGTGTGGGTGGCGGTTTTCTTTGTCTTGATCATTGCGCTCAATCTTTTTGGCACCTCCGGCTTCGAGTACTTCGAGCTCGTGGCCTCGATCATCAAGTTGATTGCCATTGTGGGCTTCGACATTCTCGCCATTGTGCTCATCTGCGGCGGCGGAAACTCCGGCTTCATTGGCGCAAAGTACTGGCGCAATCCCGGGGCGTTTTCCAACGGCTTCAAAGGCGTGGTGAGCGTCTTGATTTCCGCCACCTACTCGTTGGCCGGGACCGAGTTGGTCAGTTTGACCGCGGCCGAGTCCAAGGAAAACCCCCGCATCGCGTTGCCGCACGCCATCAAGATGGTCTTCTACCGGATCATGATTTTCTACATGCTCACGCTCACGCTCATCACGTTCTTGGTGCCGTACAACAACTCCAACTTGCTGCTGGCCTCGTCCTCGTACGCGTCGCCGTTTGTGGTGGCCATCGAGGCCGGAGGCATTGCGGCCCTCCCCTCCATTTTCAACGTGGTGGTGCTTATCTCGCTTCTTTCCATCGGCAACTCCGCCGTATACGGCTTCTCCAGAACCATTCTTTCTTTGGCCGAACAAGGCTTGGCCCCCAAGATGTTTGCCTATGTCGATCGTTCAGGAAGACCATTGGTCGGCATTGCCGTGAGTGCCATTGTCGGGCTTCTTGCCTTTGTTTCGGCCTCTCCCAAGGAGAGCGAGGTGTTTGCCTGGTTGGTGTCGCTTTCGGCCTTGTCGACGTTGTTCACGTGGGCCTCCTGTACCATTGCACACATCCGGTTCCGTGCTGCCATGGCGAGGCAAAACAGACCGCTCTCCGAATTGCCATACCTTTCACAGACCGGTGTGTGGGGCTCCTACTACGCCACCATCTGTTTGATTGTTGTTTTGGGCTTGCAATTCTGGGTCTCGCTCTACCCGTTGGGCTCGCTGCCTGACGCTGCTGTGTTTTTCCAGAACTACCTCGGAGCAGTCATTGTCGTCACATTCTACCTCGGCCACAAGATCTACTCAAAGAAATTGAACACCATTGTGCCCTTGGCGTCCATGGACCTCGACACCGGTCGTGGAGAAACCGACTACGAGAAGCTCCAGGAGGAGATCCGCGACGAGAAGGAGGCTCTTCGGGGAAGGCCCTTTTACATCCGGGTATTCAAGTATCTTTTCTGAGCGGGGTGCGCCAAACGCCCGCTCTGCACCTCTCATTAACTCCTGAAGGAGTACTCATTAAGCATACATTCATATAACACACTTTTCATGAAACGAACATAACGACCAACGATCATGTGTAGGCCTTTCCGCTCTTATTGCTGCTTGTGAAGCGAGAGTATCTCGCCATCAAGATGCACAAAACTGACACCGAGAATCGTGTCGGCAAGAAAGAGACAAGCGCCATTCACAATAAACGCCACATAGAGAAGGCCCTTTTCGGCCAAGTTTCCCGTGAATATCGGGCCCACGCACCTCGCAAAAGTCTTGGCAATGTTCACCACGCCAAGCACTTTGATCAAGTCTTCCTTTGGAATTATGGTAGTGAGCAAGATCTGGCGGGGCACCACGTCCATGGTGGCACATGCGCAAAAAAGGAAGTAGAAAGCAGCGGCAAGGAGGTAAGAGCTGCAGAATGGAATGCTAGTAAAGAACACGGCACTCGGAAGTTGTGCCACCAAGATGGCTTTGACGGGGCCGAAAATAGAAAACGTGAATGCAGACACAAGTGACGAAAGCGAGTCGACCATATTCGTGAAAAAAAACAAGTTACCCAATGCGGAGGGCGAAGCCTTGAACACTGTACGGAAATAGTAAACAATCCACGCGGGGGGCATGAACCCGTACCCAAAAGAATCGAGCATGAATACCACCAAAAGTCTTGCAAGATGTTTTCTTGATTGCGCAGAGATACCGTACTTTGGTGTGATTGTCTTTGGACCTAAAGCTTCCTCGACATCCTGAGAAACCTCAGTTCCTAACAAACTTGACTCTTCCGTGATCAAAGCGCCATCCATCAGGTCAAAATTGCTGTCGGATGTGAGGTGTTGAGCCAGGATTTTGATAGGAAGTTGTGAGATCTCGCAGTTGTTCGAAAGACAAAGTGCAAGTGCCAATTTAGCCAAGGCAACCCCGGCATAGCCAATGAAAACAGCCCTGTAACAAGCTTGCAGGGTCCAGCCGGCCGACAGAATCCAATATTCTATCAAGAAACCACATGCAGACGAACCGACCGCCGAGCCAAATGTTCCTAAAAGGCCGTATATGGCGAAGACATGCGCCCTTTGCATCGGGGAAGTGAGTTGGGAGAGGCATGCCTCCTCCACTGTCTTGAACGGCCCCGTTTCGTCTCCTGAGGTCGAGATTACGCCAAAAATAGCTGCAGATAAAAGCACCCAAAAGTTCTCGAACTTGGCGAATACCAACCCAGATGCAAGCATTAGAACACATCCAGCCACCATCACTAAGCGCCGTCCAAGATGGTCCGAAAACCACGTAAGGAGAAACGAAATGGCGGTATCGCCCACTAAAGTCAAGGTCATAAAGGTGCCGATTTTGGGTTTGGACACTCCTACACTTTCGAGGAAAAGCGTCAAGACTTGGTTGGTGAGACCAAAACTGGCCTTGCGGAGGAAGACCGAGAACAAGAGCAACTTGACATCCAAGGATGTGGCGAGGAAAGTCAGATACATTATGATTGTGCGACGCGCCCTACTGTTTGGTGTGTCGGAAGGGAAGATCTGCTTTCGAAGAAGCCCGCAGTATCAAGTACGCTGCGTAGGTTTTTGCATGGAAAGACGAGCTTCTCACGCGTGCGTATGCACTTGAGGCAATGGGCACCCCAACGATGTTAGCACCAGTCACGTGAGTCTTGGTCGTTCGGCCGCAATTCTTCGAACAGTCAAAGTGTCGAGTCGAGTCGGCCAATTCGCCAGATCTGATGTGCCCAAAAGCTAACTGGTCTTCCACTTTTCTTCCTGGGAAGCCGCTCGCATAGATCTGGTGCAATGCATGGCCTCACAGTACCTGCAGTCCCATCTCAAACTGGCAGACAGCGTCGAGCTTGTGATGCACATCGACATCGCCAAGGTGACCGATACCAACAAACTGCCCGTATCCCGTGACACCAAGTGTCCGGACCACACTCGCTGGAACGCCGCACGCCGCTCATTAGAAGGCCCAAGCGCGTCGACTCGCTCTCGCATGGAAAACTCGTCGCTTGACCGTTTGGCGCACATCGCCAACATGTCACATGACATGCAACAACAGGAAGTCGCCGTGAAAACAGAGGCGCCGACCTCGGGCACCCTGTCCGAAACTGGGCACAGGACTCCCACGCTCGCTCAGCAAAACAAAATGAAGAAGATGGCGTGCACGTGTTGCAGGCAGCAGAAATCCAAGTGCGATGCCCACGAACGGCACCCGCTACCGTGCACGCAGTGCGCCAAGAAGAACCTTGTTTGCGAGGTCAACGCCAGTTTTCGGCGCAAGGGCAAACGCGCACATTTGGCACGGATCGAGCAGGAGTTCCTCGAGTTGAAGCGTTCGTTCCAGGACCCGCACGCGGCCGAGGATCTCCAGCGAACGGCCCCCAACTTGGCAGCGTACGTGGAGTCGGGCCGCTTTTCCCCCAGCAAAACACCGCGAGCCGTGGACTCGCCGGGCCCCTATTTCGTGCCGCCCGAGACGCTCAGCGCCCCGAGCGGCGTCACGCCGCCTCTCAACGCGATGTTGCCGGCCCCTCCGCGCCCCAGCCTACCGATGCCGCTCGTCCGGGCCATGGACATCCCCGACCATGTGTTGCAGTGCGAGGAGAAGTCCGTGGAGGAGATCGTGCTCTCGCCGCAGATGATCCGCGAGTTGTACATGGAGTACGTGCGGCACTACCACCCCATCTTGCCCGTGGTGGACGTGATGAAGGGCCCCGAGCGGCTCCACCGGCTCTGCCCGGCGCTTTTCTGGGTGGTGATGTTCGTGGCGCTCCGGCGCTACGACGACGAGGACAAGCTGCTCCTCTTGCGGCTCTCGCCGCTCGTCAAGAACATCCTCGCGGAGATCTCCATCTCGCCCATCACGCGGTACCACCCCACGGAGGAGGACGAGCCCATCTTGAACGCGTGCTCCGTGTACTCGGTACAGGCGTTCATCTTGTACTCGCTCTGGCCGCCGCTCACGTCCTCGCTCAGCGCGGACTCGTCGTGGGTCACGATCGGCGTGGCGCTCTTCCAGGCCATCCGCATCGGGCTCCACACCGCCGGCGCGTCGCTGCCGCAGCACGCGTTGGCTCAGGAGCAGACGCGCACGTGGCTCGTGTGCAACATCGTGTCGCAGAACATCGCCACGGCATTCGGGTTCCCGGCGTACGTGCAGTTCGACTTCCTCGCGGCGCAACACTGCGGGCTCCCGGTGGCCACGCGCCACGCCATGGAGATCGCGCACTTCGAGGACCAGGTGGCCCGCACGTTGGCCGTGGGCTCGGGCGCCGGCCCGGGGCCCTCGCACATCAACGAGCGCGTGGCGCTCGCCAAGGTCTTGCTCAAGCAGTTGGACGACTTGGAAACACGGCTCGTGGCCGAGGCCGGCGCCGACGACGGCCACCGCCAGTTGCACTACCTCGTGGCCCGCGTGCACTTGCTCACGTGCTACTTTCTCGATGCGCAGAGCATCCCGCCGCCCGAGCTCTCGCAGGGCCTTGTGCGGCTCTTCAACGCGGCCGCGGCGCTCTTGGCCCACGTGGACGCCTGCGAGGCGCGTGCCCGTGTGTTCGTGCGCTACTTGCCGGTGGTGTCCGTGCTCCACGTGTGGCAGGCCGCGTTTGTCGTGGTCAAATTGGCGCACTCACCGTTGAAGGCCGTGCTCGACGTGGCGCACGCCCGGCGCACGTACCTGGCCGCCATCCGCTTGGTGGGCCGAGCGTCCGTGCTCAAGCACGACATCGCGTACCGTGCCGCCGGCATCATGCGCAACATGTGGCAGTTGCTCCGCACGCTCGACGAGCAGAACTTGGCCTCGCTCCACTTGACGGTCAACACGCGCATGTCCGCGTCCGTGTTCTTCGACTGCCTCTCGCTCCTCCGCGACAAGGTGGGCATGGCCAAGCTCCACATCCAAACGGACGTGCACAGCCACGCGGCCGCAGACATGAATGCGGACGATGACGACGACGGCCTGCTGGAGGACACCGACGAGCATGCGCCCGCGCCTTTGCCCGACGCCGCGGGCGGCGACAGCCAGAAGAGCACGCCCGGAAGCACCGGCAGCCTGGGCCGTGTCCGGCGCCAGCGCCGGCTCTCGGGCGTCCACGACGCCGAGTCCAAGGCGCGCAAGATCATCCGCACCATCCCGTTGGACCCGCAGCCCATCGCCGCCACAGGCCGCAGCTCCATTTTCAAGGTAGTCAACGCTAGCACGGGCTCCTCGCCCAACTTCAGCGTGAAGTCCGCCGGTTCCCACGACCCCGCGTCCCCGCACACCGGCGCCGAGAGGCTGCGCGGCCCAACGCCGTATGCCCAGCAGCCGCAGCTGCGTCCGCCCGTGGAAGCCACAGCTGCGCATCCCGGCGAGCAGGACTTCTACGCCGTCAGCGATACCCTGGCCTCCTTGGAGCCGAGCTTGTTTGACATGAACAACGACTTGCTCTGGAAGGACGTCGACAGCCTCATGAACGACTTTGGCTTTCCCACGTGACCCTGCGGTCACGGCTGAAGCGGCCGGGGCTATGGCGCGGTTTCTGGGCGCCGTGGAAAGACGTGATGCGGCCCAGGCGGGCAATCTTGGGTGCCGGAAGCCACTTGCTTTTCGCCGCATGGGGCGTGGTTGCCGTGGCACGTGGCGGAGCGGGACACTTTCCAGCTGACGCTGAGATAGCCCACACGTCCTCTCAAAAATCTCGTGATGTTCTCGCCGGGGCCAAATGTCGTCTTAGTGTCTAAGTTCGGATACTAAGCCATCCGCGAGGTTCATTCACCCATACCCCCGAGACGTGCACTAGGCGTTCTAGTGCTCTTTGCTCGGGCCTTTTTCCTTTCTTCATCCCAGGGCCTTGCCCTATTGAATTACCAGTCTGAACTAGTGCCAAGTACTGCTCTGATAGCCCATGGGTGTGTCCCAATTCTGGCACGCGTTGCGTATATAGCTTTCACTGGACGCATGATACCGTCAAATAATAAATGCTGCCGTTGGGCGCTCCCTGAAAGATTCTTGCACAGCCCTTTTTCTGGATGTCCCCTGGGAAAACCTGCCCGACGGCTATTGTTTCTGTCGACGCTGGATTTGTTTGTTCCGACGAATCCAAGAACAGAACATCCCTGGTCGCCGTAGGCGGCACATCAAAGTGGTACACAAATGGTGGTTCTTTGTGGCACGGTCACTCGGTCCGACGGCTCATATGTGGTTTGGAAGAGTCCCATATAATACAGCGCTTTGTGCTGGTTGCAGACTGAAGATCCAATTAGCCGCCCTGTCTTTCTTGTTGACAGAAACTCTCGAACCAGGCTCTCATTATGTCAAAGCATCAATCCTTCAACGCAGCTGTTCACAAATAGCCCAGGCTGTCCTGGGCCAAACAGAGCCGTGTTTCAAGAAAAACCCGGAAGTCTCATTTTTTCTCATTTTTTGCAACTGGGTTGGTTTTCGTCTGTAAACTGAGAAGAACCTATTGCCATTGCCCTGGCGGCAAAAGACAGATTCGAACACAGGCTGCAATTCAACTTATTCAGCCTCTATCTCCCAGCCAGACCTCAGAAATGATAATGCCAGCTTCACATGCCCATTTTTTTACTATATACAGCCTGGCAACTAATCTGAAGAAACGTACTCAAAATCGGATTTTCCACAGCTGTGACACCCATGCGGTCTAGCCCTGGGCTTCAAGATAACAAGAGCCATCCGGAACTATTCCTGCAGATTGTGCAGCCAAATAGCTATAGAAATCAAAATACCATACTCTAATCCATCAAGAAGACGAAACGTTTTTCGAATGGAAGTGATATGGAGCCTCAATCAATGTCCTTGCCTGGATCTTTGCGATTGCAGCTGCAACATCTGATATGGGTGCCTGCATACACCGAGCTCGAGGATCTATACAAGTCAAACAAAGGCACTGGTCGAAGCCAACTTGTCATTTCTCAAGCCTGCTTTTCGACTGGGACTCCAAACTTTCAAATTGCCGATTTTGAAAATGGCGCCAGGAAACTCTGCCATGAACAATCCTCACGAGGAGGTGCAGTTGGCCTTGATTACGCGGATAGTTAACAACATGGTATGTCTGATATCTTCGTGATTCGTTCACCTTCCAGGATTGAATCCTTCTCCAGGTCATACCTATGTACGGTATGGAAGCTCCATTTTCCTGACGTGCACTAACATGTAGAAATCGCTTAATGAGTCTGTTTCCGATATGAATTTGACTTTAAACGAGATCAACAACAAGAATAAAGACGTGGAGGCACTTACCAGAATGTGGCATAACTATGCCAAAAGCACGGAGTATCATTTGGAGACTACGGGCCAGACCCGAGACCCGCTTTAGTTACAAGAAATTGAAAATAGGTGCTCGGAGCTTTCTTTCAGGTCCTACTATTAGGACAATTGGATCTTGATTCCGCAAACGTATGGATTATCATTGGATTTCGCAGGAAATTTTATGATGCATCATCGCAAATGTGCCCCGAACCATGATCTGCTGTAGGTTCAGACGTTGGTGCCACGTCTGCTGATGACACCTCCACTGAGACTATCCGTACTTCTCCCGAATTGTACGTCACTTCCCGAGCAGTTCCTTTATGAAGACATCATTCACTCGATTAAGTGAAGTCTAAATAACAGCTGCTTGCTTGCAAAACGGCCTAAATCGATTTCATCTGTGAAGTTCAAACAGTTCTACAAAGGCGCGTTTCCGTGGCCGTCTATGATGTGTTCCTGTGGCACCCCAGCCTCGCTACTCTTGTGGGTCAAATCCACTTGTTCATTTCCAATACACCATGTGTACATATCTACGTCAGAACTCTTGTAAAGCTTATATTATGCAAGTATGGTACAAACTTATCCTGTGCTACGAGAACCAAACGACCGCGATGCACCAGGACCCCAGGTATGCCATCCAAAGTTCCAGTAGTGCCAAAGCAGAAAGCTGCCCTGGCGTATTTTCTTTATTCTGGTTACTCCTGCTGGGTGGGCAACAAACCAAATCTCTTTTTCAAGGTGACTCTTTGTCTAGAGTACTTGTCATCTGGCGAAAATCTGGCTGGGTGGGCAGACTTGGTGATCTCGCCGTCAGCAGTAGTCTTCGCCAAAGTGTAGACTCTCTTGCCGTCTGGGCCAATAGTGTACATCAAATGCATTTCCAGGTATTTGTGCTTTCGTTAATGATGGAAAACTTTCCCGGTGCTCAGAATTTTTAATGCCGTGATGAGATCACGTGGTGCACGGGTGCGTCGCTCATGTACACGGGTGCCGTTCGCCAAAGGAAGAAAAAGACGAGGGTTTATCTTTCTTTTGCCTTGGAAAAATCATCTGTCCTGTTCTCTCGCAATTAAACTTACTATGATACGCTTCCAGGCGTTTTCTCATGTGTTCGCTGAAAACATTGCACGCTTGACCGTGTCACGTGACCCAGCACACTATCTCAACGTCACCGAGCAAGCACTGGGCCAATATCTATGATTCTACCAGTCCAGCTGCAATGGCGCCCCCTAAAAAAGATGCTTTCTCGGATCTCCTCAATTACGCGCATGAAAATCTGCTGAAATCTTTGACCGGCTCCTCTTTGACTAATCTCTCTCTGAAACCAGGGCCTCAGGCCCAAGCCAAGCCTAGCGACACAAATAACTGGGGCAATTTAGACATCTTGATGCCGACCCTGGTGCTCAGCCCGCCGGACAGCACGTCCCTGACCCCTCTGAATATTTCAGGTTCTGTGTCAGGCGGGAATCCCAATCCAAATGGCGGGTTTTCGGCAGAAAACGACCCCTTCTCGTTCTTCGACAAACCGCCGGCTCCTGAAATGCAAAGTCTGGCCGCTTCTTTCACCGCTACAGACCCGTTTGACTTTTTCGAGCTCAACTCTCGTCCTGAAATGGCTCTGGTCCAAAGTTCGAGTCCCAGTGGCATGTCTGACGAAAGCTCGCCTGCACCAAAACTTCCGAATAGGCCCAGTGCAGACGCCACGTTGCTTGACGACGAGTTCACAGACGCTTTTCCCAGCACGGCCCTGAAACCCCAAAGAAACGAGTCTCCAATTGCAGAGCCAGCTCCGAAACAACAAAACAGCGATCCGTCTACTCAAACTGGCGAAAGGGACCACGTCTTAGCGGCACTCATGTCTGAGGGGTTTCCAATTGACATTGCCAACAAGGCAATTGACCGTGTGGGCCCTGATTTCGAAAAGTGCGTGCGCCTCATAGTTATGAAGAGCGTGCGTCCCGAAACCCAGAGACTGGCGTCTCCATCCATGGATCTCGGGAGTGCTTTCCAAGGTGTGTCCAATGACATATATAAGAAGGCAACCTGGCTCCTTGATCAATCGCGGAAAACTGTCATCAAGAACATCAACAACTTGCAAGCCCAAAGAGCTCGGCGGGAGGGAAACGATTTGCCCGCATGGATAGCAAGCCAGCATAAATACAAGGATCAAGCTGTGGAGAGAAAGAAAGACGGTGGCAACTACGAGGATTATGGCACCGACGATGAAAACATCAACGAAGCCGAAATCAGGAGTATTGTCCAGGCCCAGCGACAAAAGGAAGTTGAACGCCAGCGTCAGAGACTAGAAGCCTTAGGCAAGCCCAGCAAACCGAAAGGCTCTCATGACTTGCAAAGCTCGAGAGAAAACAGAACTACAGGACCCAGTTCGGTTCCGGGGCACGTGACTTCGTCTGAGCTTCCGGTGGCCCCTGAAAGACAACATCATCTTAGTTCACAATCCTCGGCATCCTCGCTTCACAAAAACGAGCATGCACAAGGTTTACCCCGTGTACCCAGACCACGTGCTCAAACTCCCAGAGCTCTCAATCAAAATCAAACACCAATACCCGAGCCCCAAGCACCCCCAACTCCGGAAGTCGATTTGCTTGGGCTTGGGACCCCGCAAGCACCACTTACTAGAGCGCAGCGATTCAAACAGAATTCAAAAGACGACATGTCCTATGTTTCCCCGTCTAGACGCAGGCATGCGGATCACAAGAGCACAGAAAGGACGCCCAGACCTGCCACGTCCGAACCTTTGAACACGTTTGCACAGTCTGACTATGAAACACACAAAGCCAAGGGAGCGGCTTCGTTCTCCGCGGGCGATTATGACAACGCATTAACCGCATATAATAGATGCTTACAAAGCTTGCCCGAAAAGCATGAGCTTAGGATCGTCATCACTTCGAATCTCGCTCTCACTGCAATCAAGATAGGAAACTACCGCCTTGCTTCTCTGAACTGTGAAGAAGGTTTGGCTCTTGTCGGTGATCATGCTGGTGATCTGGAATGGCTTCTAAACGACAAGAACATAAAGTATTGGTTCGTGCGGCTTTTGGCACGGAAAGCCGAAAGTTTGGAAATGCTCGAGAACTTTCCGGCTTCATTGGAGTGCTACATGCTTTTGATCACGAAGTATGGAGTGAACGACAAAAAGACCATGGATGCAAAGAGAAGAGTAAACATTATCGTGAATCCTGTGAAACAGACATCGAAACCGACTCTGAAACCCGCACCGCTGTGCAAAACCTCACCTTCTTTCTCGAGCAACAAGAAACTCGATCAGGTGAAGAACCAGCACATGAAAGAAAAATTACAGGAGCAGCAAAAATTTCAATTACACGACGTCGTGGATGATAGAATCCAACAGTGGAGTCGTGGTAAGGAAGACAACTTGAGAGCTTTGCTCATGTCCTTGACTGACGTTTTACCACAGCATCTTGGATTTCCCTTCATTACGAACAAAAAAATCACCATCAATGAATTGATGCTTACGAAGAAAGTGAAGGTACATTACATGAAGGTTATCAGCAACATTCATCCAGACAAATTGGGAAGTTTTCTGCTCGAGGATCAAATGATTTGTCAAGCTGTCTTTGTCACGTTAAACAAAGCATGGGACACATTTAAGGTCCAAAATAATATATCGTAAGTATTTAAAGATGGGAAAGCAACAAATCAGATAAGCTGTTTGTTGTGCCCAGTCATCGTGTCCTGAAAAAATGAGCGTCTTCATCTTCTGACTCGCCTTGCTTATTATTTACGACAGACGCTCACTATTTTAACTACTAAGAATCAAAACAATAGTTTAGAAAGAGTGGAATGATTCTGACCATATCCTCCAATATTCACTCTTATTACACACACAATCAGCAAAGTTTCAACTCATACATAACACTGTCAATGATGGGGCCAATTATGGGTTCTTCCATACGAAGTCAAGAAAGGTCCTTTAAGTAGACTTTGACATGAAAGGTCGACTTCACAAGATTTTCCTGTCAAGCATAGAGTCTTGGACCACCAGCTCATTTCAAGAACCAATATTATGTGATATTTCAAATACTAATTCGGTAGCAATACATTTTTTGCACATTTTGTATATTAAGTCACATATAATTTTCAGGGAGAACGATTGAAGTTTCCAGCACAACAATTGGTCACATATCATGACCCAATCAGAAGAAACCTAACCCATCATCGCCAAATTCAAGTTGCTGATGCTGTGAAATTTTGGAAAAAAGATACTCCGGTGCCGGGAGTCGAACCCGGGTTTGCTCGGTGAAAGCGAACCGTGATAGCCGTTACACTACACCGGAATTGGATTCTCTTATTTTTTGTTGGCGTTACTCATGGACTTGTTTCTTTAATAGCTCGCCTTTGTTGTAGATAAATATTATGAACACATTTTGAATATATGGAATACAAAAAGCGCAGTGAGCAGCTTGCCTCCAAATGAGCCCAATAAGCGCTGGAGAAAATTTTGGAAAGAACTATACAAACAAGAATGGTTGGTGCAAAGGGATCTCACTGCCATCCATCTATTCAATCATGGCTACTAAGTTTCCTTTCTTAAAGATAAAGATGGAGTGTTTGATTCAGATTCGGGTTTGTTTTTTGAAAATTTGCTATAGCGATCAGAAGCTAAGCCAACTCTACAATGAGTGTGATCTTGTGCGCTTCTGGTGGCAAAATATCGGTTTTCAACCACCAATGCACTTAAGGGAGAAACTAGCTCTTTCAGATACTTTCTTTGACAGTCTAAAAATTCTTGATTGGTTTGATAAAGTCGTTCGCAGGGTCCATTCGTTCAGGGATGTAAAGACAAATGTACGTCTTGCCGCCTTGACAAATGAACTATGGTCATGGGCCCTTAGGAAAACATGTCCTATGGCACAGCCATATACCTTTAATATTATTCAAGACGTTGAAATTGCTTGTGGGAAAAAGCGTTTTTGAGAGAACACCTATCCTCTTTCAGAGACTTCATGAATTGGTGCTCGCGCCTTATCGCCTGAGTCAATGTGGCGATCTATTATACATTTCTTCCTTGTAGTTTTTCGTTTGTGGTAGGGTTCTACCTCCCTCCAATGACACCCTATAATATGACATTTCTTTGAAACAATTGATTTGTGTCCGTCAATTTTAAATGATATACAATACGTAAACAGATACGGGCCAAGAGGACCGTCTAGGCTATGAATTACGGAAGGGGGCGAGTCGAGTTTTGACACTTGGGCGTATCTTGAGCATTCCAAAAGTATATATATGTATATATATATATATATATGCATGTATGTATAGTTAGTTCTGTTTCTCTAATTAGATAAAGGACGGGGATCAAATAGAGTGTATAGAGTCTACCTTGCGATAGCTCATTTCTGCTTCCCGTCTATTCATACATGTCTCTGGTCAAAGATTCCGTATTCATTCTGATCTATTCTCCGATATAAACGATTCTGAATGTTTCACCATCTTCGTACCCTCCCAGCGGGTAGATCAAATTATTGTTCGCAATTTCAAACAATTCCCCTGGTTGGTACTCCAAGTCGAATGCATCTCTTTCTTCGTTGAAAACGAAATGCAATACATCTTCGTTGCTGTCTGTCATGACAAGTACTCCATCTTTGTACCCTACGTATTTCCCCTCATACTCTGCCTTGGATTCAAACATGTTAAAAAATGTTCCGGTAATACTTGCTTCTATCCTTTCACCGTTCACTTCAAGCTTTAACACTTTCAGAGCCAAGGACTCTAACAAGAGAATCCCTGCGCCCATTACAGTTGTGGGAAGCATCAAAGTAAAAAACGTGATTGGGTTCAGAAATTTCATTTTGTTACGGAGAGTATGATTTGTTAGTGTTCAAGTAACATTTGAAGGACATGAGACTTCTGCTTTATATTGATCAACCTCTGTGCATCATATACCTCGTCTGTCGTAATCTTGTAATATGTGTGACTAGGGGGGTCAGATGATGCGGGCACAACACTATATTCTCTCAGCTAGAGTTTCCTTTCATGTTGACGCTTGATGTTTTATTGATTTTGCGTGCCTCGTTTCATTTTTAATTGTAACTTTCCTGATGTCTATTAAAAACAGATTCAGACATGTCTCAATCACGACCAATTAATGTCTCTATCTCAAATTAGTTGAATAAGCGATTTAATTCTATAAACTTACCAGGCATAGACTTAACGGCCTTCATTTTTAAAACCTTACAAAGCAAGTAGCAGGTCGTACTCATAACACTTTCTGCCATATAAATGTTAACTTGAATCCGACGTCACCGTTTCCGAAAGCAAATTGGGCACCCTCATTATGCTGCGTGATCAGATAGACGAGAGTCACTGAAAAGGGTAGTAGTAGCGTTCTTGCGCCAAGTTAAAAGTAAGCAACACCTGGTTTGTGCTCGACAAAATATTGGTTTTTTTTATTAACCAGCTGTTTAATCTGTAGTTCAGTCTTTTGTAAGAAATATAGTAATACCATGTCGATGCGTCTTCACGTATGGCTTCTTTCGAAGCAAGTCAAACTTGGCCAGACCTAAATTCCATTTATTTTTCTTGGTACAAAGTTTCGAGTTTCCCTCGCTTGCAATTGATGATGTCAATGGTGTCCCGTCTAGCATTATTCCTTGATAATCAATCTGGCTGAAGCAGAGAATGTGAAGCGCTAGCAATTTCCTTTCGTTGGCATGTAAGCGAAGTTATTTAAGTCTACCGTTTCTGATCGCTCAACTGAAGAAATCTCGAAGTACGAGACTTCTAAAATCGATAGAGTTGCTGTCTGCTTTTCTTATATTCTGATGTGAAAAAGTTCACTCTTTAGATTTACAGCTTTCTGTGAGGATGGATGATGGCCCCCCTCTTTCTTCTTCACTTCAACCACAATTAATAAATCTTTGTACATTACAGTCCTCGACTGAAATGCAATATTTGTATGCAAGATCATGTAAGCTCTGATCTTCCAGTCAAATACCACATTCTAATTACAGTTCGTTCTTACTGAAAACACGAATGGGTTCTTGTTGATAACTAAGAGAGAAAATAATCATTCAGATTTATCTAACCAATTTTCAATCGGGTGCTGCAGTAGAACATCACATGATTCCTAGGATCAACAGTTTTGGTCTGGAATTTGGAGCTCTAGAAAACATCTCTAAGTATTTCACTTTCAGCTTTTGTGATGTTTCTTCTTTTTTTGGTTATAAAAAGAAAGGCGTTCTTCTCGAACCTCTGGCTCACCAATAGTTTTGGGTCGCCTTCCTGAACACAATATATTTTGATATAACGGACAGAGATCCGTATGTGGAGCCTATCAGCTGGTCATTAAAGACCCAGAAGATATCGACGGGATCCTGATCTCCAGGCGAGTCAGATTCAATCACCATATAGCCATCGGAGTCAATGATATTCTCACGCTCATACACTTTGATTGGAACGGAAGACGCAAAGTCTTCCATGGGACACATTTCGAATTTTCCATCTTCGCCCACAGTCATATAGGTGTCGTCGAAACTTTTTACAATCCCATTTTCTACCTTGTACAAAGTTCCTTCTCCCAGGGCTGAAACTTTGTGAGTACTTGAAATAACAATCTCTGTCTCTCTCGGAAATCCCAGACTTATCCCGACAAGATATAAATATCCCTCACCCAGCAAAAGCTTGTTGCTGGCCAAAGCAAAGTGAGTAAACGTGCTGACAAGACAACTTGCTCCAAAAGCTTCATTTAGTTATTTCCTTATTTCTTAGTTAGATATTTACAAGGTATGAGGAAACGCTCTTATATAAGCGCATTTGTCTTGAGGTCAAGAATTATATACTATGACTTTCTATTCGCCTGCTGAAGACTTTAGGAGCAAAATCGATTGTGCCCACAACAAATCTAGACTGAGTTCATTGTTCTTCTGCAGTAAAAACTAGACGTTTCTATCTTTACATTACTTCTGATTTATAATGGAATCGATTGTCCTCAATCATTTGGTAGATACGCATTGTCTCCGGAAAGAGCAGAGCGTGTATGATCTGCTGCGTTGCACAGCAAAGTAACCATAAAACACAAAAATCTTATTTCCCACAATGTAGTCACAAACTTCCCATCCACAGCAAATTATAGCGTCTAGTTAAATTAGAAAACATCAATAAAAATAACAAACAGCTTTCTTCATGATTGCGACGTGATAAGCTGGGGCCGTTGCAGCTAGAAGTCAATTGGAATCAATAACTCCTATTAAATCAAGATTAGTCTCAATGCATTTGTGTACATTGCAGAAAAGACGGATATCAGGAGTCTATATAGAGGCCATATAATTGAATAAGGCAAATGCAGAACAATGCATGCTCGTGCGTTCCAGAATCCTTCTTCTCGGATAGTGTAAGAAGTGAGCTCTCTCAGTTGACGCTAAAGATATTAATACATTTAAAATATCCATTAAAACAGAGATATTCAACCTTTTCTAGAATCTGATAATGGAAATGAACCGAAACCAGATAATATATCTTTGCTGAAAACCTGATTCAAATCTATAAAAAGACGCGATGATTTATTTTGAAGAATAATAGTGCAACTTGTGCGAAGCGTCATCGTGGGGTCTTTCCATCAAAGTCAGGTAGGTGCAACAATTTTAAGTCGATGCATCTCAGTTGATCAACAACTTTATTATAAAAATAGAAATTCTCGGCAAAACTTGCTTGATTAAGATTCCCCGCCCAGTTATTCGCGTCAGAGAAAGGTTGAATCGTGGCCCCAATCTTGCAAGCTAAAAATGCGGATTTGAACAGGGGATTATCTCCCGACCGAATAATTTAAAGCAAACGATTTTTCTCGGTTATAGATTTGGCTAGATCCAGTTACTGCTTGCTGGTCATTTTGACCAACTCTGCTCGAGTACGCTATCCCATAATCTAGCAGAAATGGTAGCTTTCATGGTATGAACAATAAGACATCCGAAAAAGCAATGAAGAGTCACGTTCTGCATATATTTTGGCTAAAAGCTGCTTCCTACCTAGGCCAAAATTTCTTTCCTGTCATACAATGGATCATGTCCGTCTAAAAATGAAATCACAGTAGAATCATGTTCATGTTTGGAGTGATCCTTCTATATATTATTCAGATTTACGTACCTCACTCTCGAGAAATTAGTGATGTAGAGCTGGCTCGAAAGACGCTCTCAGGCAACCTTTGTTATTGTTGCGCAAAATACAAGAACTGCATTGGTTCGTTCTTTAAGTTTAGTCTTACAATTTACTTCAAACCATATTCATCTCGCAGGAGGTGGTAAATAATACACTCGAAAAATTGTACGTTGAGGAGTTGTGGCATGTGCTGCCTTGAATGGGTCAGCGGCGTTTTGAGAATTCATGAATAGGCTAGAAATGTCTGTTGACACCACATTTTAGTGCAAATTGAGCAGTGATCGAGAGCTTTCTGTAGTAGCTTTGTCGAAAACTATCTTCATTCAGTACACTTTAGCATTCTTTTTTTTGTTTTTTCCTGGTTTGAGTTTAAGTATATATTCAGGTCCCAAAGTGGAGGGGTATTTGCTCTCTGATTGGCGCGCAACCGAGAATGTCCCCACCAAGTTTGCTTCTCTCGTCGCGATCATCGAAACAGTTGAACTAGCCATCACCTCAATTGCTTAATAATATTATATGACAGGCACGAGTTTACATTCCCCTTGTTTCATTTTCAAAGACTTCAAAAAAAAAACCTGTCCAATCACGCGAAGGGCTCAAAAGTATGGATTCCCGGGCTCTCAAACAGTTACGCGATTTATTGCCAGTTTCGTGGCTATCTCCATTATGATGATTATCTCATGGGTATATTATCCTGATACTCACCACAGAACGATTCAATCAAGTGTCCATTAGGTTTTGAAGCATCCGGTCAAGATAATTACATAGCCGAGTGAAGATCCGCACATTGCCAACTAGCACAGCCACCAAAGCCTAATCTGACAAAAGGCTTTAAGTGCAGAATTTTAAGCCATCGAAAGAGAATCAAAACACATTCGGCCAACTCTGGGAACACATGGTTCCACCGTCAGAAGGTATCGCTCCATCGCCTTGTGGATTTTGGCGCTGCGGGCTTTTGGCCCGAATGTTGTTGTAGGCCTCGATGACAGGTTAGTGTTAGCTGGTGTATGCAGTAAGTCATGCTCTGCGCTGCTGCGGCCGGGCACTTGTCAGATCGACATATTGCGGGGTCTGACCATCTGTGCGGCTGAGCAAAACATCAAGCATAAACATCAATCCAAGTAAGGCCGGTAGTATTTCTTTTTGCTTTCCATATGCTTGATCTGACAAAGCAGTCCCCAAAACTGGTCGGAGCATATTGGTCTATGTGCACGAATACTCCTGGAGTTGTTTAACAATCGGGAGTTTAAGCCGCCTTGCCATTTTCGGCCTGTGTATAATGCTCGAAATTTGGCACTTTCGCACCGTCCGAGCCGGGAAGGCGCAGAGCGGGCGCCCAAATATAAAATTGATAAACATCAAGGACGGACTGACCACTTAAATAAAGATTTTCAGCAGCTTGAAGTAGCCTCAGTATTTTTGGTTTTCGGATTTTTGAGAAATTACGCAGCATGACTTCTAATTTTAGAATGTGATGAGCAGGAACGCCGCATGGCTCGGAGCCACGCAGCAGGCTATGCAGCGCCAGCGCCTTGAAATGCATGCAAGAATAAACTCAAGAGCGTTGGTAGATAAATCGAGCGTGCCTCCGGGGAATTTTTTTCCTGCTGATTTCATCTCAAAATCTCAATATATTGTTTTTCGTTCACGCCTTTGCCAGCACATACAAGCCAGCACAAGCCAGCACAAGCCAACACAAGCCAACAGGTCATTTTCTGAAAAGACATTCTAATCAGCTCCCCACTTCTATAAGTCACACCACTATTTCTCTCCATTCGCCTGCCCCGCAACTGCAGCTGGAAGCATCGGAAATCAAGACACCAGAAAGACACAACCCAGACCGCAATGACCGTTTTCAGAACAGACTCAAAGAGCCAGCAGCCGGACCAGCAGCCCCACCATCTGGGGCAAAATAAATTGGACGCGTCCAAAATGCATGATCCCATTTTGAGTGCAGTCAACGAAGCACAACCTTTTGAGGAGGCAAACCAGGTCCAGTTCACCAGGAAACAATCATACTTATCGCAGGGAAGCGACGAATTGAGGGACCCGTTTGGCAACAAAATCAGACAGGCTGACGTGCTGAACCCCTCGCGGAGCCGGAACGAAAGACCGTTAGATACAATCAGGGCATTTGAATATGCCATCACGGGAGACATGACATACAGAGACCAGCTTGAAAGCGACCGGCTCGGATGGGGATTTCACGAAGATTTCCCCCATCACAACCTCAGCACGCTGGCGAGCGGATCGTTGCAAACCGGATATTCACAGCCCGTGGCCTCGTTCAGTGGGGCCAACCAGCAGGTATACCAGGCCACCAACTATAGTGCGCTGTCATTGAAGCCCGAGCCTAAGAAGAAAAAGGGGTTGTTTGGCCGTAAGAAGTAGAGATGTTTGCAGGTTAGTAGTTATGCAATGAGTGGTTTTCGGTCTCAGACATAGTCTCTTTCACGTTTGTTTTTTTGTTTTGTTTTTGTGGCAGGCTGTGATGTGTGTGCTAGAAAGATGCAATGAGCTTTCAGGCGACGATCCAGGATTGAAACCAAAATGTGGTGGCATCGCCATGCGTGTTTAGTTCGTTTCGTGGCTTTGGCTTTTCGCGCCAAAAACACAACCACAACCACCACCGCATGCCGAACCGGATGTTCGGGATGCTCAGGCCCAATTTTCCACCAACCCCCTCTCCCCTTCGAAAAAAACAAAAACCAAGCAGCTCGAAACATAAAGTGACTGAAAAGGGACTGCTTCTTTTTGCAGTTTTTTTCCACAAAACTGATTGTCTCAGCGCTGCCTGTTTGCTACCCTGAGACTTGCTTCTCGCTGAGCCCTAATATCTCGAATGTGTCGCGGGTATGTTTCAGAATATGCGCGGCCAGAGCCAAATCCCACCAGATTGCACCCTGTGATCGGAGCACAATCTAAAGCGCCCGAGATCTGGCGCCTACCCCATTTCTTTAAGCGCTTTTTTTAATCATCCCCAGCGGCCACCTGAGCCTGGTAGCAAAGCTAAATTCAAAGATCTCAAACAGGAATGTGTAGGCAATGCCTTGTTCATATACTTCCAGGGATTCTGTGCCCGCCGACCCAGCTGGAATCATTCATCGGAGGGTCCATTAGATTTTATCTTCATTGATGGGTTCTTCTTTTTTTGTGTTCATGTGGTGTGGCAGTTGGCGCTGACCCTTATTTACCGCCAAAAAAAATAAAACGGTTTTTGCAGACCCTTTTTAATCCTCCAGTCGCACACGCGTTTGTTATCTTTATCGGGCATTTTGGCTAAGCCACGCTGCCGGCCAGGTCTCACGCTTCGCTCAAACGCCCGTCTGTTTCGGTGCACTTTCTCCTGCACACGCACAACCGGCCTCCGCCACGAGCCATTTCGCTGTGAAACCTCCCACACGATCTATAAAGAACAACTTGTCTCCGCCAGACTACATTGTTGAAAATGTCGCTGCAACTCCCGCAAACGCCCATAGAACTGCAAGTGCTTCAGACCTCGCAAATGCCGTCTGCACAGGTGTCTGCCGCACCCCAGATGGGCCAAAACGTGCCCAGTCCATCGAATCCCAACGCAGTAGCATTCAATGTGTCGGACCACTATCAGATCCTCGAAATGGTCGGACAGGGCGCCTACGGAGTAGTGTGCCTGGCGATCCACAAGCCCACGCAGCAGAAAGTGGCCATCAAGAAGATCGAGCCGTTCGAGCGGTCGATGCTCTGCCTCAGAACACTCCGAGAGTTGAAGCTCTTGAAGAACTTCAACCACGAAAACATCATCAGCATCTTGGCTTTGCAGCGGCCCAGCTCCTACGAGACCTTCAACGAGATATACCTCATCCAGGAACTAATGGAGACTGATTTGCACCGGGTCATTCGCACCCAGAAACTCTCCGACGATCACATCCAATACTTCATCTACCAAACGTTGCGGGCGCTCAAGGCGCTTCATTCGGCAAACGTGCTTCACCGGGACTTGAAGCCGTCGAACTTGCTCCTCAACGCAAACTGCGATCTCAAGATCTGCGATTTCGGCTTGGCCCGCTCCGTGGCCCTGTCGGAGGACAACTTCGGGTTCATGACCGAGTATGTGGCCACAAGATGGTACCGTGCGCCAGAAATCATGCTTACGTTCCAAGAGTACACCACGGCTATCGACGTGTGGAGCGTCGGGTGCATATTGGCCGAAATGTTGAGCGGAAGACCGCTTTTCCCAGGCAGGGACTACCATAACCAGTTGTGGCTTATCATGGAGGTCTTGGGTACGCCGAACCTGGAAGACTATTACAACATCAAGCTGAAACGTGCGCGCGAATACATCCGGCTGCTTCCTTTCTGCAAGAAGGTGCTGTTCAGCGAATTGTTCCAACTGATTCCCAACATCAACCCGAAGGCCCTCGATCTTTTGGAGCAGCTTCTTGCGTTCAACCCTACGAAGAGAATCACTGTCGACAAGGCCTTGGAGCATCCGTACCTCGAATTGTACCACGACCCGAACGACGAGCCGATGTGCGAGCCCATACCAGAGGATTTCTTCGACTTCGACCGCCGCAAAGACGAGTTGTCAGTCGAGGAGCTAAAAAGAATGTTGTACGAGGAGATCATGAAGCCGTTGTGAGCGAAGCGACGTCCAGGTGGTGTCGCGCGGCGGCCGCGTCTACTACGAGGTTATATTTAAGAGCATAGGGAATCATACCGAAACAGGAAATAGAGAGTCAATAAACCATGGATTAATGGGCGTGGATCCCCCAGACATGAGGCAGAGGTCCGGCATTCCTTTCCGCTGCGCAAGCTGACTCGGCCTGGGGCCGAAAGGAGAACTCAGGGCGAGTTTCGGGCGTGCGTGAACCGCGTTTCTCGAACACCCACGCACACGTGAGACGGATTCAGGCCGCTTCTCAGCTGGCGAACCAAAAACTAAAGACAGAAATGAAGCTAGTGGCTGTGTGGCTTTTCCTCGTGGCCCTCGTCAGTGCTCACACGGCGTTGTTGCCTCCGTACGGAAAGCAGTGCTTCTTCGAAAACTTGAAGAAAAACGACGTGTTATCGATTAGCTACCAAGTAGGCTCCAGAGATCCCGGAAACTCGGAGCAATATGTGGTGGATTTCTATATTGTGGGCCCCAACGAACGTGTGGAGAGATCGGTCAGAAGCCAGGACCATGGCGACGAGACCTTGACGGCCGATATGGACGGCAAGTACCAGTATTGCTTTTCGAATGAAAAGACCTCGCGTGTGGATTTGGACGTCTCCTTCAATGTGCACGGCGTCGTGTACATCGACGTCAACGATCCCGACTCGGACTCCTTGGACTACCTGATTCTGAGGTTGAGCCAGTTGACCAGCGACGTGAAGGCCGAGCAAAACTACTTGGTGATCCGCGAGAGGACCCACCGAAACACCGCGGAGTCAACCAACTCAAGGGTCAAGTGGTGGTCCTTGTTGCAGGTGATTGTGGTGGCCGTCAACTCGTTGTTCCAGGTGTACTACTTGAAACGGTTTTTCGAGGTGCGCTCCGTGGTGTGAGCTGGCATGTAGAAATGTACATAATGAAAACTAGCAATCGATCGAAGATGGATGCGTGCGTGTTTGCGTTGTTTCTTTGGGGGGGATGTGTTTGGACCTGTAGTCACGGGAGATCATATGGCCTGGCAGTGACCCGAGCTAATTGCCGGACATCCAGGGTCTGGACAGGCCTCCAAGTGGATACGGGTGGAGGATTCCGAACACTGGGTATGCATGTTCTCTTGGGCAGTTTCCGCTTTTGCATGGCGTGTCCATGCAAGGGCATTTGTTGGGGAAATCAAGCACCGACGTGCTAAGGCACTGCTTTGTTCCTCCAAACCAGCAAACATATCAGTAGATGCCACGAGGGTGTTTTTCTGACTTTTGGGGAGTTGCCGACGAGACCCAAAAAGGGGGACAAGCGTTTTCAAAAGAAATGGGCCGATGCGGGCAGCGTAGGCTCCGGCCCGCATGGGCCTAGTGGTCAGCCCTCCCATTGATGCATTCACGTTCATGCTTCGAGTTTTCACGTTCTTCTTTTGAGTATTTCACGTTCTTCTTTTAAGTACTTCACGTTCTTCCTTCAAGTATTTCACGTTCTTCCTTCCACTCTTCACATTCTTCTTTCGAGTATTTCATGTTCTTCCTTTAATTATTTCACGTTCTTCCTTCAAGTCCTTCATGTTCTTCCTTCAAGTCCTTCACGTTCTTCCTTCAAGTACTTCACGTTCTTCCTTCAAGTATTTCACGTTCTTCCTTCCACTCTTCACATTCTTCTTTCGAGTATTTCATGTTCTTCCTTTAATTATTTCACGTTCTTCCTTCAAGTACTTCACGTTCTTCCTTTAATTATTTCACGTTCTTCCTTCAAGTACTTCATGTTCTTCCTTCAAGTCCTTCACGTTCTTCCTTCAAGTATTTCACGTTCTTCCTTCAAGTATTTCACGTTCTTCCTTAAAATATTTCACGTTCTTCCTTCTCTTCTCACATCCTTCCTACTCTTTCCAAACACTTTCTTCCCTTCAAACCTCCATACTTCTTGAGATGAACCATAAGGCATGGGAGAAAGAAGCAGCAGAAGTAACCCAGACATTCCAGTCGCGTTGCCCTATTGTTCTCATTAAGTGAGCGAAGACCTCCCGCATGGCGCCTCTCGGAACCCAGTGCTTCCAACTCACCGAAAAAAAAACACCGAGGGCATTCTCGGGCGCCACAGCCAACACCGCCAGGGAAAAGCTCCTGCTTCCATGACCGCCTGCTCAAGCCAAGGGCCCACCGAAGCCCGCGTCACGTGACCACGCGTGGCGAGCCGTGGCCGGCCGCGACCTAAGAACGAGCGCCGGTTTCTCCACCTCTTCTCCTTCACTTCTCCAGCAGGCCCAGAACTTCGGCATATCGGCTATCGAGTATAAAAACTCACGCAACACCTCACGCAACACCACACACAACAACACACGCATGTCTGCAAACTCCGCTGCCTACTTGACCGGTGCCGGGGCACCTCTTGCTATCCAAGCAGCGGCAATGCCGGTTGCTGCCGCGGATGAAATGGTCATCGAAAACAAGGCGTTGGCCGTCAACCCCATCGACTGGATCATCAGCCTGCGGGGCTTCTTGGTGCAGGAGTTCCCCGTGATTTTGGGCTTGGACTGTGCCGGGGTGGTGGTTTCCGTGGGCCTGGAGGCCGCAGCGTCTTTCTCGGTGGGGGACCGTGTTTTGGCCTTGACCGAGAGCATTTTCTCGCCGCTCCAGGACAAGGGCGGGTTCCAGAAATACTCGGCCGTGCGCACTCTCACCGCCAGCAGGCTCCCGCAAAACACCACTTTCGTGGAGGGCTCGACGTTCCCTTTGGCCGCGTTGACCGCGGCAATCGGCTTGTTCCACAAGGACCACTTGGCGCTCGACTTGCCGCAAACACCCGCGGCCCCCCACAACGGGAAGACGGTCTTGGTGTGGGGCGGCGCGTCCAGCGTGGGCGCCAACGCCATCCAGATGACCGTTGCGGCCGGGTACTGTGTGGTGACCACGGCGTCGGCCAGCGATTTTGAGCTCGTGCGCCGCGCAGGCGCCACCCACGTGTTCGACTACCGCAAGCCGTCCGTGGTGGGGAGCGTGCTTGCCGTGCTTGGCGGCACGGACTTCGTGGGCACGTTTGTGGCGGCGGCCAAGGGCGTGTCGTTCAGGCACGCGTCCAAAATCACGGCCGCGGCGCCGGGCGTGCGGCACATGGTCAGCGCGCCCTTGTACCCGCTGGGCTTCGAGAGCGACGTCACAAGCACCTGGACGGACCTCGGCGTGGCGAACTACCTGGCCGAAACCCGCCGCCTTGCCACCCATGTGTTCCACGACTTTCTCCCCCGTGCCTTGGCGACCCGGGCCATCAGCGTGACGCCGGCGCCGCGCGTGTTGGGCCGCGGCCTCGACAAGCTCCAGGCCGCGTTGGACATCATGGCGGAGGGGGTGTCTGCCGAGAAGCTCGTGGTGGAGATGTAGCTGGCCCTCTGCCCTCTCTGCTCCATCGGTCAAGTGAAGCCCACGACGACGCTTTGTGCCCGCGATGGGTGCTGGCAGAACGGCCGCGGGTGGTCCCAGGCTGTGTGATGTGCAGCTGGGCCTCCCCAACTTTCAGGCTAGGGCCGGTTCAGCTTCATGTGGTTGGAGCCGGTTGCTGGAGAAGCGTGCGAGACGGATCCGCGAGCCACGCGGGCCACTCGGCGCTGCGCCTCCATCGCCCCTTTTTTGGCGTTGGCCGTGCACATGCGCTGTGGTGCTGGCGTATGTATCCGCATGGTGGCTGGGCGGGCCAGGGAGAGCCTCGATGAGCCGTGGGGCGGGTTCTGGCCGCAGGCGTACTTGGCCGGCCAGAGGATTAATGTGACCTTTTGAGGTGGTCCACCTGTCGTCGACTATAGGCTGCGTCCTCGCCCTTTGGGCTTCTAAACCCATTAGACTAGTCTCCGCCCATCGTATTGGCCATCATTTCCGGGGTATGTCTCGATTTGGCTCTTGTTTCCGGGCTCTGTAGCAGGATTCTATTGATCTGCAAAGACCCGGGGTATGCCTTCGGTGAGGCCCCCGAAATTTGTACATGCGCTTAAATGAAGGACCTTTTCTGTTGGAGAATTCGTATACACAACGAGTTTCCATTCCGAGTCCCACTTCCGTCCAAACCGTTTAAGTACGGAGGGTGGTGAAGCCTTTGGAGTTTTCCGCATTCGGTGATGCTTCCAGATGGTGGAATTCTGTAAGTCTTCCGCATTTAGGTGGTCGGCACTTGTTCGAGCTATTTCGATACCGTCATAGTAATTTTTCAGTCTTGGGACTGCTCAGATGATGCTTCCAAAACACAAGCCAGCGTTTGTTTCCCCTAATTAAAGACATCAAGTACGTTTGGAAACCGAGAAGTTCCGTGAGGTCTTGGAGAACACTGTTCTGCCTTTTGTTCATCTGTTCCGAATACCCAAGGGCTTATCAACGAACTGAGTGCTGTTCAATCTTTCGAGGAATCCAAGGTATTTCTGAAACATCCTTCAACCTTTTTATCACCAGGAGTGCAATCTCATTCTCTAGCTTCCACGTACATCATTCAGATATTGATCTCGGGCCGATGATCCCATGAGAGCCCCTCTTGGAAATTCTCGAGAACGGCACCGTCTAGCTAAACCGCAGCTGGCATGTTTCCTTTTTCTAATAAACTGGTTCTCAGTGTTTGCTTCTTGGTAGTTTACTGAGGCCGTATCTCTTTGGCCTTTTACTTCCACAGAGACTTGTGGACGCCTTCTCCGGCAGAGGCTAAACGGCCGATGGGGCACACTTTGAGAATTTCTAGTTAGCATGTTTGATGGGTCGAGCCACGACGGCATCTGACGATCCCCAATCTCCTAGATTCATTCTTGATCAATGAAAACGTTCTGGACGGATTCCAATGCAGTCTTCAGTCTAAGAGCTTGAGACCTTACCGTGAAAGAGTGCCCCGGCCATCCCCATTAAGATAGACCGAGAACCCAGCAAAAAAATCATGTTCCAATTGTGATTCCATAGATATGTCGGTTCCATACTGCATGTTTTCACAACAGAGGCAATTTTTAGGAGGTTTTGGTGTTGCAACATGCAGATTTCTGCGCCCGTCTGGTCATGAGCATTACCCAATGGCCTAGAAAACTTCCACATGCGTGGGGCTCGTCATGCAACAAATGCTCCAGTTGTTTTATGGCTTGATGCTGGGGCTAGCGTAGTTTGCCGCACTTCACGAGTCGTGGAGTGACACTTTGACACAGTTCAACGCAAATTAATGTAATTCCCCGTCTGTTAATAAATCATTCGCTTGAAGAACAGCTTCTGGTTCAGCCTAGGCCGGCCATGTATAGAAGAAGGTGCCCTTGGATACAAGGCTCTCGTCAGTAGTGCCCGCACATCAGTGAACTTTTGGAACTCTGCAACCGATATGAAGGGCTAGTTCACCAGGATGCTGGAGATATACAAGGGACAGCGATTATTGAGAACAAATTTCAGAAAACACGAGACTGGACTGGGCTGGCGGGTTTTGTGTCGTCGGCTCTGTGTTTCAATTTGCAAGTGAAGACTTGCCCTGCTTTCGCAAGACCCAAAATTTAATTAGCAAAGTGATATAAATTAGACGCACGTATCGGAATCCGAAAACATCTTTTCGTAACTAAAAATAGGGCACGCAGGGGACCAAGGAGCAGCACGGCCCCAGCAACACTCCAAAGGCCCGTCTTCACGCATATGAACTGGTTTTTTATTTTTCCCAGCGACCGGTGCAATTCGGGGCCACTGACGTATTACACCAATGCCTCATGCAGAAGCGTGGGGCCATGGGAGCCCATCTTTTGCCGGAACCACCGCCATATTTTTTTCCCGAGGCTCCAGGATGACTTTGGCGGCAAGCCCGGGAACTGAGACTTTTGGGCGGAGCACCAGCAAATTTGGCCTGATGGCCGAATTAGGCTATTCTGATCCATGCGCGGTGGGCCCGAGGCTTTGGAAGTAGGCCCGGTGCCAAACTGGGCCCGCGAAAATAAACGAGAGCAGCCGAGTACCCAGGCGCATTGTCTGGCCGGCGGCAGACAGGAAGCGGCGAGGAAATCGACCGGAAAATAGGGGGTCTTTGTGCGGGGAAAAATAAGAGCCGGGCGGGGACCCCACGCGGTGCAGAGAATGGAAGGGTTATGGCATTGGAATAGGGGTGGATGGAATTGGAATGGGCCATGGCATTGAACGGGTGAATTGAGCACTGGAATGGGTATGAACGAGGCACTGAATTTATGGAGAGCATTGAAATAGCACGAATTCAGCACTGGATTAGGAAGGAACTAAGTACTCAATAGAAAGAATAGCATTGAATTTAGCATTGATATTCGGTATTAACTAGGTACTGAATGCATTGAAAAGCATTGACATAGCACTGAATTTAGCACTGGATTGAATAGGAAATGGGGATTAATTTATGGAGGGTATTGAGATAGCACTGAAATTAGTACTGAATAAGGTAGGAACTAGGTACTGAAGTTATGGAGAGCATTGAAATAACACTGTATTTAGCACTGGATTAGATAGGAAATAGGTTTTGAACTAAGGAATGTACTGAAAGGCGTTGAAAGAGCACTGAATTTAACACTGAATGAGGTGTGAGATAAGTATTATTTAAGCACTGAATTAGGTGTGAATTAGGTACTAATTTTATTGAAAGGCATTAAAATATCACTGAATTTAGCACTGATATTCAATATAACCAGGTACTGAATTTATGAAAAAGCATTGAAAAAAGCATTGATATTCGGTATGAACTAGGTCCTGAATGCAGTATTGATATTTGGTATGAGCAAGGTACTGAATTGAGTATTGTAAATGCTTTGAAAAGGCATCGAATGAGCACTGCATCAAGCATTGATATTCGGTACAAACTAAATACTGAATATTTATGGCATTCAAATAGCGCTGTATCAAGAATTGATACTAGGTATGATCCAGGTACAGACTTTTTGGAAAATCATTGACATAGCACTGCAGTAAGCACTGAATGAGGTATGAGATCAGTATCATTTGAGCATTGGAAATATTCTTTTACTGAATTTGGTATGAGCAAGTACTGGATTTAGTAATAAAGGTTTTGAAAGGCATTTAAAAAGCACTGAATTAGCATTGAATTAGTATTGAATTAGTATTGAATTAGCACTGACATTGAATTAGCACTGAATTAGCACTGAATGAGCACTGAATTAGCACTGAATTAGCACTGAATTAGCACTGAATTAGCACTGAATTAGCACTGAATTAGCACTGAATTAGCACTGAATTAAGTACTGAATTAGCACTGAATTAAGTACTGAATTCGCACCGAACTGCGCACTGTCAGAGCTTGTCACTGAGCTTGGCACTGATCTCAACATAGGTAATAGGAATAGGCACTGAATCCAACATGAAGTGACCATAGGCATCACGTTTAGCACTGATACCAACCTGACCTCAGGCCTGAATTGGCTCTGAACGCCACTGGAACAACACTGAATTGGCACGGCCATGTCACCCGATTTGGCACCCAGTTTGGCACCGAAGAACTGGGCGTGGCACCGCAACATGGCGCGACCCTGGCATGGGGCCACGTCGCACCACGTACTGCCGCGACACAGAGGCCCTAACCAGCCGTCCCCAGAAACACCAGCACCAACAAAAGCGCCGCAAACACCCAAACAACACCCAAACAAAAACACAGACAAACACCCAAAAAACACCCAGACAACCACCCAAACAAAAACACAGACAACCACCAAGCAAACCCCCAGCCAGCCGTCTTCCCAAACACGCCGTCCGGCCCCAGCCGCCACCCCTCGGCCCGGGGCGTGCGCCTATCTCCGGGGCCGCTACCCCTCAGCTGGCCCCATGCAGCACGCGACAACGCCATAATTCCTCCGGGCCATTTATAAGCCCCAGCCACGGCGCGCCTTTCGCACCACCCCCAACCTTCGAAACCACCACCCCACCAAACCTCCCCGAGCCTCCACATACCACCACCAGACCCCACAAAACACCCCCAAACCTTCACCAAAACACCCCCAGAACACCCCGAACACCTCAAACACCCCTAAAACACCCCAAACACCCAAACACCCAAAACCACCCCATGTCCTCCTTCTTCACGCAGATCGCCGAGTTGCCGCCAGACCCCCTTTTCGGGCTCAAGGCCAGATTCAGCGCCGACCCCCGCGCCGACAAGGTGGACTTGGGCATCGGCGCCTACCGCGACGACGCCGGCAAGCCGTGGGTCTTGCCCGCCGTGCGCCGGGCCGAGCGCAAGTTGATCGACTCCCCCGCCTACAACCACGAGTACTTGGGCATTTCCGGGCACGAGCCGTTCTTGGCCGAGGCCGCCAAGGTGATCCTCGGGCGCCTGTCCCGCGCCATCGCGGACGGCGCCGTGGTGTCGCAGCAGACGTTGTCCGGCACCGGCGCGTTGCACTTGGCCGGCGCGTTCTTGAAGCAGTTCTACGCGGGCAACCGCACCGTGTACTTGTCGCAGCCCACGTGGGCCAACCACCACCAGATCTTCTCGGCCGTGGGCTTGGCCGTGGCCACGTACCCCTACTGGGACGCGGACGCCAAGGCGTTGGACATGGCCGGCTTCATGCGGACCATCGAGACCGCGCCCGAGGGCTCGGTCTTCGTGTTGCACGCGTGTGCGCACAACCCCACGGGCTTGGACCCGACGCCGCAGCAGTGGGCGGCGCTCTTGCAGGCGCTCGCCACGCACCGCCACTTGCCCGTGTTCGACTCGGCCTACCAGGGCTTCGCGTCGGGCAACTTGGACCAGGACGCCGCGCCCATCCGCCAGGCCATCGACCTGGGCGTGGTGGCCGCGCCGGTGCTCGTCTGCCAGTCCTTCGCCAAGAACGTGGGCATGTACGGCGAGCGCGTGGGCGCGTTGCACGTGGTGTTGCCCGCGGGCGAGCCGCGCGCGGCCTCCGACGCCTTGAAGCGCGCCATCAAGAGCCAGTTGAACAGGTACACGCGCTCGGAGATCTCCAACCCGCCGGCCTACGGCGCCAAGGTCGTGGCCACCATCCTCGCCGACGACGCCTTGCGCGCACAGTGGGAGCAGGACTTGGTCACCATGTCCCTGCGCATCTCCAAGATGCGCGCCGCGTTGAAGGCCAGGTTGCTTGCCTTGGGCACCCCGGGCAACTGGGACCACATCACCAACCAGACGGGCATGTTCTCGTTCACCGGCTTGACGCCTGACATGGTCGACCGCTTGGAGAAGGTCCACGGCGTGTACTTGGTCAGCTCGGGCAGGGCCAGTGTCGCGGGCTTGAACGAGGGCAACGTGGACCGCGTCGCGGAAGCCTTCCACGAGGTCATCCAGTTCCACTCCAAGTTCAAGTTGTAGGGCGCCCGGCGCTCGTGGATCTAAGAGAGTCCACCCCGCGCTCAGGTGTAGGACGCAGGCTTCGCCGCCTCTACAACACAGAGAAAATGCGGCCCAGGCTCGACGGCCGGGGCAGCCCATTGAAAACGGCGGGTTCCCCAGACCATCGCAGACAGGCCTGTGCTCTGGGCTCTGCTGCGGCCCTGGGCTCTGCAGGCGAGACGGTCGCATGCTGCCATGTCCCAGACTCTACGGTCAACATTTGGGATATACACACTGATCCCAGCCACGGCTCCTACGCTTGGCTCTCGAACTCCACCATTGTCCGCCAAGTTAGGAGTATACTCAAAACACACAGTGCACTGTCTTGCATGTGCCGTGACTTCCCTATCGAGAGGGCCGCCAAGCCATGTCGTAGCCAAAGCGTAGTATCCCGTAGTTACATGCGGCCTTGCATTGGGGGTGGAAAGTTTCACCTGAGGCTTCATTCACTTATTAGCGAGAAAGTCCTGTGGGCCGTGTGAGGTAGAAAATCTCCTTGTTCTTGTTTGAGTAGTACGCCCGGCTTTTATATTAACTGGCTCAAGTGTTACGGAGTCCCAATTCTAAAACGGAGTCGTCGTGCTCCCAATCCCCACATCTTGCCAGCACCACGGTTGCACTGGTTACCTCGAACGGCAAAACACAATGTCTGGGCTCTCCAGACTACCACAGCCTGCCGTCAGCAGGGCGCTACAGGTCATCGCTAGGTTGGCTAATACTGAAGATGCATTACTTTGATTATATAATGTTTTGGTTGGCGAGCAAAGTGGGCGACGTCGGGTTTACTTTTTTCTGAAAGAGCAGCCCTCGGTCAACTTGGCCTTACCACCGGTAGGGGTACACAACACAGTGGCGCAGTTGTCACAGGTGACGGCGGTTTGTGCGTGGGAGAAGACGGTGGTGATGTTCAAGCAGCCTTGACACTTGACGTCCATGAAGTACGATCTTGGCGATTGGACCAAGGTCTTCAATTTGTGCTTTTGGGCCTCAGAGGCTGGGTTTGGGTGCAACAAGTCTTGAACTAAAACCTGGGCGTTGTTAGTATTCTTTGTGCTTGCAGATCTGCCGCCGGTCCGGATAGGTGGTTGTTCCATCATGTGTGGTTGGTGGGTGATGTGTGGTGACATGCTGGGTAGTAGCCTTCTACCTCATCAAGATACGTGGTTACGAAAACGGCCATGTCGACGAATGCCCCACGATTTGCCCGTGCTCCCACGCCGGGTTCCCCGAAACAGGCTGCACGAAATTGCTCGCTTTTCTTTGGACCTTCTCCAGGGAGGACTGGGCGGTAAAAACCATGGGGGTTTCAGACCCTGTTTTCAGGCCTAAGCATGATGTTCGACGGGCGAGACTTTTTGGCCTCTCGCGAAGAACTTCGCAAAACAACAAGACACGGTCACCTTCTCATGTCACTGGAACACGTCAACACTTCGTGGGCTAGATGTACATACCATTTCTGTCTGTTTGTGTAGCGATCAAAACTGGCTTGGGGAAAGACGTGATAATTTTTTTCACTGCCCGGTGCGACGCACTGGCAGGACTGCATCCAAGCACGCTTCGGGTGAGGATTCGTGGTGCAGAAAAATTTCTCACGCCCAGCTGGCGGGGGATGTCCGGGTGTTGGCCGCAGGCTCTCGTCACCCAGAGCTGTGCTGGGGCGGCCGTGTCACGTGACCGGCGTGACGGCGTTTCTGAGCTTCCGGCTGCTGGGACTGCCGGCACCAACGACGGCTGTTTGGTGCTGAAAAGTAATTCCGGATTCTGCCTGAAAAATGGGCGGACACGAACCTGAATCAGCCTTTTTCTTTTTTCTTTTTATGGCGTGTATTGCTGTGGGGCACCAGCACAAGCCGTGGCTGCTGGCTGCGAAACAGGAGGGTAATAATACCATGAACCAGAAGGCCAATAATACCACGAACCCGGGTGGTAATGGTACCAGAAAACATGACACTGTCTCTGCGTAGGTTCGAAGGCATGACATTTCAGTTCTCTAACACGGCTCAAATCAAGCGTTTTGGAAACCCACCAAGCATCTTGGTCGGCAAGTGCCAGAAATGCTTGCCATGGTACATTTCCAAGTTGTACGAGGCTGGACTCAGCAGTCGCTCTGCGGACCACGAGGCTGAAAGCATTAAAAACTTGAATTCTGCATTATTCGATATAAACCAACCGTAGCACCGTCACCAACATCAAACACACCAGCCATCGCCAACCGCAACAGCCACCCGCCATGGCGTCACACTTCCCTTTCCGGTAATTCTTCCCGTGCTTTGACTAACTAATACTATATAGTCCTATATACATCGGGGGCTTGGCCCAAAGACAAGAAACCCGTCTTCACGTCGTCAATGGGGACCAAATCTAAAATTCCGGACTGATTTTCTTCTTCATTCTCGGCTTGTTGAGTCCAGTCAAATCATTGGACGGCTGTCACGTGTCCCTGTCTTTCGTCGTTCTTTATATACTCAGACCTGTCACATACGTTTCCAATGGCTTGCCAAACAATCCCAGAAATACTTAGTCAAATTTGACTCAGCTTATCATCTGATCAATTGGAATGCATGATGCTATAGCTAAGGTAGCTGTTCATTTTTATTGTCAATAAAGGAACTGTGTCGTCCGTTCCTCTATTGATTGATTAAGATGCAGTGAGACGATCGATCATAAAGAATAATGCAGTTTGCAATTATGCCTCCATCGTACGATGAAGGCAATAATACATGCGACCACATAGGGTCGCAGTGAATTGTTGCTCGTAGCGCTGAGAGGGTATAGGAATATGTCCGGCTTCACCTCAAGCACAAGCCATCTAAATTCACTTATTTGGAGCCTCTTTTGGCTTTCCTTGGTGGAGTAACGGGTCGGTTATTTCCCATACTGCTTGGTGGAGGATACCTTGGCTTCTTGTCGGCAGGCTTTAAGATTTGGAACGAGCACAACAAGCTCTCATCCACACTCATCATTGCACCTGCATTATCGAATTCACCACAGTAGTTTGGCGCTGAGAACAAGGTGACCAATTGTCTTTTGGAGAAAAATTCATATCCGTCCTCGACGACTTGATGGGCCCTACAAATCAAATCCATGTCATGCTTTTGTAAGAATCGCGAAACCACATCAGGCCCAAATGTGAAAGAAACACCGCGATCATTTTCAGACCACCCGGCAATATCCTTGTCTGGATCAGACCACAACAAGTCACACAACAAACCAACATCGGGTATATCCGTTGGTCTCATGACTCTTCTAATTTGTTCCATGGAGTTCAAGTCAGGGGACAAACCACCATGCATGGTGAATATCTTTTCGTCGATGATAGCAGCGATAGGCAAGCAGTTGAAGCAATCCGTGAATGTTTTCCACATTTTGATGTTGTACCTTCTTTTACATTCATCGTAGAAACCATAGATACGGTTGATTGAAGCGCATTCGTGGTTTCCTCTCAAAATGAAAAAGTTTTCCGGGTACTTGATCTTGTAGGCTAACAATAAGCAGATCGTTTCCAAAGATTGCTTTCCTCTGTCAACGTAGTCACCCAAGAACAAGTAGTTTGCCTCAGGGGGAAAACCACCATATTCGAAAAGTCGCAATAGATCGTAGTACTGGCCGTGGATGTCACCACAGATTTTTATCGGAGCTTCTAACTCCAACAAGATGGGTTGTTGAATGAAGATCTCTCTAGCTTTAGTACAGAGAAAACGGATTTCATGCTCCAACAAAGTGACTTGTTTCCCAGGTCTAGAGCCTCTGACTTCTAACAATCTATCGACAATGGAGTCGATGTCAGCTTCTTGGTGTTCGGACATGGTTTGTTCTTAAAGCAAAGTCGGATGATTGGGATTAAAGTAAGCCTCAGATAATCTTCAGATCAAAAATGGATGTACGACTATTCTTCGATGTTGAGTTTTCTAATAGATGCCAAAGTGACTTCTAGAAAAATTTTGTATGTGAACCGGGTGTCGATGGTGTTTTTTTGGACACGAATACCGAAAGCCGCCCAAAAAAGAGTCGAGAAAAAAACGAAAACAAAAGCTGCCGCTGTTTCAAATAGAGCCCGAGGTGAAAACAGACGAGAGCAACGTTGGTTTCCAGAGTAAAAAGAAGGCGACGAGAGAAGCCCTTAGTTGGTTTTTGTTGTTGGAGGAGGATGAGACGCCAAAAGAGAAAAGTTGAGGTGTGGCAATAATGTGCCAGAGCTTTTGGGAGCGCAGAGTGGGTGAGCAGCAATTAGGGGATGAAGTGGCGCGACATTTTCGCCTTTTTTTGTATTTCTTCTCTCCGCGGCGACATGACCGCGATGAAACTGCAACAACTGGCTTGTTGTGTTTGCAGCCTTAGCCGCTGGCCGCCACTGGCGTTCTGGTACAAGTAACATCCGATCAGAGAAATCTCGCACGTATCCAGAATAATTCAGGCTGATGCATCCAAGGTCTGTGGAACAATTTATGATTTCAGTGACACTATACTGTGGTGCTTGCCCCTTCCGTTCGTCACGTGGGGAGCCAAGCCCTCGGCCCACATCGTGTACCGCGTATGAGCCTGAGTCATCATTGAATTTGGGTTCTGCTTGGATGGAGCGGTCTACAGCCAGAAAATAGGAACCACAATTCAAAGAACATGCTGGACAGAGAAGCTCACGTGACTCTGCACCGTCACCCGTGATGCCCACCGACGGGACTGCCGGATGTCTTCTTACCGTCCACTAGCAGCTGCGGCTCAAGCGCGGGCGCGACATTATCTCCGGCATGCAGGCGGCCATAGGCGGTGTTTTGGTTGTTTCCTAGTTTGTCCCGTCAGAGCGACAATACTTGCGCGCCGATATCCGCCGGGGGGCCGGGACCGCTTGGCCGCTCGGACAGAGCAGAGCGGTACGGGTCTTGCGGTGCACGTACGCCCCAGCTTTTGGATTAGCACCCGGCACGCGTTTGATGGCACAGATTAGGAATACTACCCATGTCGGCCCCACCATTCCCCAACGAATACAGATGTAGGCTAGTTGCGGACTCCGACTCAAAGCCATGTACCATTTGCTTCAAGCCCACAAGCACGGTCTTACTCGCCTCAAACAAGGCAGATCACTTTTACGTGTGCCCCATGCATATGAAAGATAAGAGCTTTGCCTCACCCATAATTCTGGAAGACTACACAAAACTCATGAGCGAAAAAACCCGGCTCGAGAACGAAGTTCGTTTGGCGAACAGTCTCGCCGATGCGAACAGGCCATATTCCTGGACCAAGCTCATGTCGAACATCGGTTGGAGCGACCCTGTTCAGCCCCGGAAGGAGAACTCCGAGGACAAGCCCAAGCTCGACGATGCGGAATCCAGTCAAGCGAAGAAGCAGAAGCAAGACACGTACGAGGAGTTGGTGTCGCAGGCAAACAGTCTCAAGACGAAGTTGGCCGATGTCAATAGCTCCATCGCAGGTTTTCAATTCAAGCACTACGCGCTTGCCAAGGACGTTTACAAGATGCGAGTTAACAGCTCACTACAGGGAAGAAACCGTGTGCAAAAGCAAAGTCCGGGCGAGGCAAGCAAAAGCGTTGTGTTTCCATCGGTTCCAAAGTCGGACATTAGTTGAGGGTATATCCTGCAAGACATCCCAGCGTGTGCCCAGAGACGTATAGCAAAGAAATGGAAGAATTGTTTCTGCACCTACCCCACGCGGGCCGACCTAGATCCCGCCGTAGTTGACCGCCTTCTCGTCAAACCAGTTCTCCCAGTTGCCGACGGCGCCCTTCAACACCGAGCCCCCAACGAACTCCATGTTTCCCTCCAAGAAATCAAAACTAAACCGCAGAGAACCCACCACAGCCTTCCAGAAGTCACGTGTGGACTCCTCCTTCCTGAACTTTTCCTCGTCGTCATCCTCCAAGTCGTCATTATCGATTCCGCTGCCGCCCCGGGCCAGACCCTTGGCACTGATCTCGTCCGCCACAAGCTTGGCCAACTCATCCTCCAAAACCTGCTTGACTTTGTGCACAGGGCGGGAGTCAAACAAGTCCTGTTTGTTGACGGCAAACAAGAAATCAACGCCGTTGGGGTTTTTCTCCGTGGTGCTCAAGAGAAGGAACAACTCCTTGGCCATGGCCGAGACTTTCAGTTCTTGGCTCAAGCTGACGCTCGACGAGTCCACCACATAGATGACGCCTTTGAGCTTGCCCACGGTGATGTCGTCCAGGATCAATGTGCGCAAGAGTTCAGAGTGCTTCAAGTGGCCGGGGTAGTCGATGAGCTGGTACAGTTTCTGGATGGACTCGTTGGCGAAGGGAAGCCTGACAGACGCCACGTTGGGCTCGAGCGATGACACAAAGCTAGCTGGATTCTGCGTCCTGTTTGTCAAGCTGTAAAAAAGACTGGTTTTGCCAGCTCCGTTGGCGCCCACGATCAAGTACGTGGGCTTACAATAAGGCGAAGAGGAGCCGGATTTGCTGTCCGTGCGGCTCTGCAACTGGAACACCACAAGCACGAGGATAAGTCCAAGCACCGCAGCCAATAGTCCCTGCTGGATTCTGTCCATTTTGTGGGGTGTGTTTTTGGAAGTGCCGAAGAAAGTTGGTATGTCTTGGGATGTCGGTTGGAGATACGAGGTTCTTGCGAATGAGCGCCGCACTGCCATGCACAGGCGCAGCGAGCTGATTTCGAGGACGTGAACACCAGGTGGACTTCTAAGAACATTTTTGGAAAAAAAGACCCAGGGGAGGCTAATTTGATGCTAGTGGATGGGACCGTCCAATAAGTGTTCAGGCCCGGTAGGATGAGCCTGGTTCTCAGTGGACCGGGCTTTTTGGGCCCAGGGAAATTAGCTGCGAAGCTCATTAACCAGGCATGCTTTCCACCACACCTACAAGCTAAAAACGGAAAGAATCGCCAATCCGGAAATTTTTCCGGAACCGAGAGAACTTCGAAACCGGGAGAACTTCGAAGCCGGGAGAAAGTTCGAAACCGCGAGAAACGTCCAAAACCAAAGAAAGCTCTTAGAGCCCAGGATGCGCCCCGAAGCCGGAATACACACAATCCGGGGTAAACATCCCAACCCCGGCAGAAGCACGCCAGCCCTCCAGGCCGTGGGTTGTCGGAAAAAAAACCGCCAGCACCACCTACAACCAAGGTAAACACAAACTTATATTCGGGAGCTGTTCTGGGAGAAGCGGCCGGGGCCTCGCAGACCCCCTCCGGCCCTCCCGCATGCCTGCTACATACCAGCGGTCATGCCTAGTCCTTGACGATGGACGCACCGTATTCCCGCGACTTCTGCATCAACAACTGGTCCACCAAGACCAACGCGGCCATGGCCTCCACAATGGGCACGGCACGCGGCGTCACGGAGGGATCGTGTCTGCCCTTGGCCGCCAACACGCCGTCCGCGCCGTCGTACGAGGCCGTGGGCTGTTCCTGCGAGATGGTGGCGGCCGACTTGAACGCCACGGAGAAGTAGATGTTCTCGCCGTTGGAAATGCCGCCCTGCACGCCGCCCGAGAAGTTGGTCTTGGTTCTCAAGCGCTGGTCGGCCTCGGAGAAGTAGAACGCGTCGTTGTGCGCGGAGCCCGGCATCGTGGTGCCGAGGAAGCCGGAGCCGAACTCGAAGCCCTTGGTGGCGGGCAACGACATCATGGCGTGCGCCAACGTGGCCTCGAGCTTGTCGAAGCACGGCTCGCCCAAGCCCACGGGGCAGTTCCGGATCACGCATGTGACCACGCCGCCGATGGAGTCCTTGGCGTCGCGGTACCGCTCGATCTCCTTGACCATCTGCTCGCGCACGGATGCGTCGGGGCACCGCACCGGGCCCACGGCGTCCACCGCCTCGCGCGTCACGCTGTTCAACACCGCCTGGAACTTCTCGTCGCGCGGGTCCCTGTTCATGGACACACTGCCGATGGACGACACGAACGCCACGATCTCAACGTTGTTGGCCTTGTGCAACACCTTCTCGGCAATGGCGCCGGCGGCCACGCGGCCAATGGTTTCCCTGGCCGACGACCGGCCGCCGCCCGACGCGGACTTGACGCCGTATTTCTGGATGTACGTGTAGTCCGCGTGCGACGGTCTTGGGTACAAGTCGGTTTCCGAGTAGTCCTTGGGCCGGTGGTCCTCGTTCAACACCAACATGCCGATGGGCGAGCCGAGCGTGCGGCCGTGCTCGGTTCCGGACTGGATGTGCACCTTGTCCTTCTCGTTGCGGGGCGTGGAGAGCGCGGACTGGCCGGGTCTTCTTCTGCTCAACTGGGGCTGGATGTCGGCCTCCGTCAACTCGAGCCCGGGGGGGCACCCGTCGACAATGCACCCGACGGACTTGCAGTGGGACTCGCCGTAGGTGGTCACGCGGAAAATGTTGCCGAAAGAAGACATGCTGTGTGGTGCTGTGGTGCTGGCGTGGTGCTAGTATCTGGTTCCTAGTGGCCCTGGGTATCGCTGCCGAGTTTTCGCTGGAATTTATGCATAGGGCCGGGCGCGCGGCGCCTACTGGCGCCAGGCAGAGCAGCGAGGAGACGGGCAGCATTGAGCCCTGCACCACCGCTGCGTGCCGCCACGTGTCTGTTGCGGAGCCTGGCCTGCGTGCTGTCCATGTGCCAATGCTTTGCTAAAACATGGCCTTTTACTGGACAGCTGGGGGCCCGGGTCTGGGCGGGCGCTGGTCATGTGACTTCATGGGCCTGCCGTTTTCGCACCGCGCAGCAGGCCTGAGTCATCGGGCCAGGCAGCTCCAGCACCAACGCCGCTTTCCCGTCTCCACTTGTCGCAAGACGCTAGCTGCATTTTTCGGGCTGGCTGCCTATTGGATTGACTTTACCTTTTTTTTTCTTTTCTTTTTGTCACAGCCCAGATCCCAGTGTCGGGTGGCGGGGCCCGGCTGCCCGATCACCTGATCTGCCGGGCAGAGCATGCGCGAATCCGGCGAGAGTGCGGCTGATCGTGGGCCAGATATTAGACCACTGGGTGGCTTAGGATGGCAAAGAACTCGTCGCCACCGCCACCTTGCTGCTCGGCACAGCTTCTCCAGGTGCGAAGAAAAGAAAAGAAGAGGCCGAGAAAAATCGATAGTTCGAAAGATCACAGCAGAGATACATATTGAAAGATGGCAGGGACACCGAACGAATGTTGAACTACAATAATTTTCCTTTTTTTAGTGAAAGGGACTGCAAGCCGGGTTTTTTGAACCAGGAAAATTTGATCTTAAGACCACGCTCCTGTGTCGGCGATTATTGGAACGTCGTCAAGTTTTTGAATTGCTCGGGTTAGGTCACTTTTGAGCGTTCGCAATCCATGAGTACCTCAACAATGCGACATGAGCTGTGAGGTACTAACCTGTTTTATGCACAGGCGGCCTACCATGTCGCCCCCAAAGATTGCCACTGACGGCTTGCGTGGCTTTGATTTTACTTTGGTCTTACGAAAAGTCCAATGAGAAGGACAAAATGCGATCGGTCGTGCTCAAAAATTATTGGGAGATGTGGTCGGACTTTTCATACGTCTGTACCATTGGTTTAGTTGGGCCCTTTCATCCAAGCCACAATTTAGCGAAAGAAGATTTTGGGCTGTCAAGATCTTTCACACACACTCTCTCTCTGAAGATGGTACCGTTTTTGGTCTGAAAATTTTTGTTAAAGCCAAAATATGTGGGGTTATGTCAACCTTGCGTTGGGTTGTTCGCACCTAGATTCCCGGACATCGTCAATACTCGTTGAAAAAACGGCGGTTTATCGGCCATTTTTCGTTTTTGTTGAAAGACATCGCTTGATTTCGAAAGATTCTCAAAATTGTGGAGGAACAACAAACATACTAAATGGCATATGAAGTGGATCAGCGCAATTGATAAGTCTTGCCGATTGAAGACCGTGCATACTTCGGAAGGCCCATTTACACTGCAAGGGCACACCATAACTATCGAATGCTAGCTCATTCTAGCAAGTTCCGATGCGCATAAAATCATTCCCCATTTTTAGAGTCACTGACCCACTCTAAGAAAAGAGAAAACATGCTCGAAAGCCGGCCTAAGGCTGTGTCATTTGCAATGAATGAAAGATTGAACACTTGAAAGGGCTCGAAGCGTTTGCCACGTCGATATAATAGAATTTACTAAAACTGCTCGAAACCGCTTTCAAAACTAGTTACGGGTGCTCAATTCTGAAGACCCGGCTTCATCTATTGGCTGCACAACATTTCAGATCCACACTACTGAGTCTCCTGAGCCAAATAGTACTGTCTTTTTAAACTGCTCCTTTTTTGGCTTTTGTAAACCGGGCAGTTCTTACCCACCCCGGCCTGGTAATATCACAAGATCAAACAAAATAATTCTACCGACCACCTCGGCAGGTAGTACTCTGCAGAGAAGATATAGACGACGAATAACTTCACTCTCAGATATGAAGGACTCCAAACCAGGAAACATATGTTCCCTGGTAGCCAAAAATCCTCATTTCCCAATCTTCGAACAAAATACCCCGCATTGGCTGAAAGGCACTTCAAGCTTCGCAGCTTTCAAACATGTCTGTATGCCCGCGTCTCATGAAGTCTTTTTTAAACTACTAGACACAATTCGTGTCACCCAAAATACCTTTCCAGTGCCGAATTACCTCCTTCAAACTCAAAGGTAGTCAGTCATGAGAATACGCGTGTCTTGTTTTGTTAGCCTCTGTGTTATGTCAGTCTTTGTATCATGGCGCTGAGGATTCTAAACAGTTTTGCAAGGCCAAACTGAAAAAAGTAGCCAATTTTTGACAGCCTTCAAGATATATCGAAGGAATTGCGACACGGGCCCCTTTAATTTCTGGGGTATAGTCCATACCCATCTCGCTCCTCAGTTGGCCATTGCGGCTCACGCACTTAATATGCCGCATTAGGCAAGAAATAAACACGGGCATCCAGCATTGGTGCAAGACCTTCCAGGTCAACATTAGAGCATCAACGCCAAACACCAGAGGCACTAAACGGGCCTGGAAGCACCAACGCTGCCTTTTCAGATTAAGCAACTTTGCCAAATTCTCGCGCAATTCTGGTTAGTCCCCTCTGGCTACCCGTCCTCAAGCAGCCTGGCCTCATACATTACATCACGAAATCTGAGCTGAGACATACACCAACAATATGTGGAGCTTGATAATCCCCATTGCTCTATTTCTAGCGCACACTGCTGCGCATTGGGCTACCCACTATTCGTTCCAGGAGGGCGTCATATATCTCCAGCTAAAAAACGATGATCTCGTTGCACTAAACTTTTCCATGTCTGGGTTTGATGGGCTATCTGGAAGTTCTCTAGCCGAAGTGAACATTGAGCAGAACCAAGAGGTTTTCCCCTTGACTGCACCTCCGCAAAACTCGACGATGTTTGTATCTCAAAAACACCTCTATGCGTTCTCAGGTGCCGTGGATGAGTCTTTATCCACTTTCGACAAATGCGGGAACGGTGTTTTCCAGCTTCTCAAGTATGAGGCGGCGTCGGACTCGTGGGTGTATGCCTCGGACAACATGACGTTTTCCGGTGTGGAAAATGTGTCCTTCTACCAGGACTCCACGTACTTGACCTCGCTCACCTCGTCGGAGGTCTATGTCTACGGGGGTGTGTGCACAGCCACGGGCGAGGTGTCCAGCCGGCTTCTATCATTCGACATGGAAACCATGCTGTTTGCAAACATCAGCACCTCGACCGAGCCGCAAGGCTTTTATGGCGGGGTGAGCGTATGGGCACCCAGCCCCCTGCAGCTGTTTGTTGTGGGCGGGCGCTCCGAGGCCGGCTGGCTCAACATGTACCAGCTTGCCACGTGGAACTTCCAGTCGGGGTGGCTGTTCCAGAGTGTTCTGAAAAACGGGACCACGGTTCTGTCCCGCACAAACGGCCTCGTGCTTCCGGTCTTCAGCGTGTTATCTGACGACACCGAGGAGACGTTTCTCCGGAACTACAATCCGCAGGCCGTGCTTGTTCTAGGCGGCGAGGCCTCCGGGCAGTCGGAGGCCGCCTGGGCCAAGCTCCTGTATGAAGACAACGAGTGGAGCTGGCAGAGTTTGGAGCTGGGTCTCGAAGACAGTGATATTCTTGGAGCCGCGGTGATTTTCGACACGCTTGTCGTGGTGAACGGCTCCTCGCAGACTGCCGCAGGCAAGCGCCTGGACAGCTCCTACCATTTGAATCTCTACGACATCAACAGCAACTTCTCGTTGGTGGACGACTTGCAGAGCAACACCGTGAGCAAAAGTGCAACACAAGCGGCCTCCAGCACCAGTGTGTCGAAGAGCACCAAGATCTTGGTGGGCACGTTGGTGCCTCTTTCCGCGTTGGCCATCATCTTCGGAATTGCCATGTATGTTTGGCGGCGCAAAGTGGCGCTGAAGGACACGGCCAGTCTCGCCGGGCCCATGGACTACCAGCTCGGCCACTATCGCACCCAGCTGGACCAGCAGTACTCGCTTTTGGGCAGCAGGCCGTTGGACTTGTACCAGCATGTGAACGACACGAGCTCCACGCTTGAGGGAGCCTCGATAGACTCGTGGGTGCGCAAAAGACAAGAGTACGACGCGTCGCACGGCCGGCCATACGCCCGCCACAGCTACCTTGCGCTGAACGAGACGTTGGGCTCACGCGCGGAGGAGTTCACTGACGAGCTTGTGCTGGATGCAGCGAGCCAGTGCCGGCGGGAGCCTGGGATTTCTGGAAGTGCAGACATGCGGCCGACGGCTCAACTGATGGCCCTGACTCTGTCTCTCGTACAGACACTCCTGTCTCCTCCTCCAGCAGTGGTGTCCCCGGAGGGCTCGCCGCAGAAGAACGCGCTTCCTGTGCGGATCAGCCAGCTCCGCAGCTTTCTGTATAGCCAAACCCCGCCGCAGCTGCCGATGCTCCAGCGCAAGTCACGGCTTGATCCGGGGTTCCTCGGTCTTGGCGAGGGCCTCGGCGCCAGTGCTCTTGCTGAAAGTGAGGGGGAGGTCTCCGACGAGAATTTGGACGTGCAGGTGTTGGTGAGTTCCAAGAGAAAGTCCGTGCTTCGCGTGATGAATCCAGACGCGGACACGGCCGGCGAGGGCGTCCGCCTACGAAACCCGTCGAAGTAGGCTTGGGAAAATAGAAGTTTTCTTCATGGGAACGGCCGTTGGGGAGACGCCCGAGCTGGTGCACCGCCTGTGCTCAGGTTCCTCGTATAAGTAGTGACAGGGGGGCATGTCCGTGAGTCCGTGGCTCGAGGGACTTCTGGGTTGCGTTGGGCATGACGCGGCTTCAGTGCTGTCGTTTATGAATGGCTTTTCTCTCTTATGATATTATTCTTGTGCAGGGGAAATATGGGATAAGCAAGATGGGTTTGGGAGTCTCGCTTGTCGCGAAATGAATCGGGAGTCACCAAGCCCTTTGTAATTCTAACTGAAAAAGTTGTACGGCCCATCACCTAGGAACCGATATGTGGACAATTCAGTCACATCCAGTTTCTGTAGATGTCTGGTTCCTGCCATGAGCGTATCTCGCAGATGGATCCGTTTTGAGGTGCAAGCGGATACGCTCAGAAATAGAGCGAATGAGCTGTTTAACGATGTATCGTCAACCTGGTAGTTTGGTGACTCTAGGCTGGAATTGGCAAATAGAGTCCTATAGGTTGGATAGTTGAAAGCAAGGTTAGGAGGATGAGCTCACTGCAAGCTGTGGGTTTGGATCAGATGTGGCTGCTTGCAGTTGGCTTGCCAGGGTTTGGCAGCCACGCCTCCAGTGCATTGCAATGACTCGACTCCAAAAGCCCCTCCTCTCCCCAACAGATGGAGATCAGAGTGGAGACATCTGTGTGCACCGTCGGAGCCATGGAAGAGCTCTGTCAAGCCGGCCCCAGTACTTTCGGATTTTCTCCTTTCCGGCCTCTACTATCTTGAATTATTTTTCTGATTGCAGCTTTGACGCCGTTCTGTTGCCACGTGTAGTACCACGGAAAGTGACACGGCCGCCTGTAGTGCCTGTCCTCCGGGAGCTACACACGATGTAGAAGTGTGTCATAAACGAAGGTGGTATTGGCGGTGCTTACTTTGTCTTTACTGGCCGAAACACGAGTCTTTGGGGCGTGCTGTTCTGGGTGGAGGCGTGGAGCCCGCGGGCAGAAGAATACGGCCGCAGGCAGAAGAATACGGCCGCAGACAGCAGAATACGACTGCTGGCAGAAGAATACGAGACGACCAAGCGGACGCTTATACCCGGCTTCTCGCGGCACGTGGGATTTCCCGGCTCAACGCTAATATCAAACTCGATCTCAAACTCTGAGTACCGGCCCCTCCAGATTGGCCAGGCAGAGGTGCTTATCATCATTAGGGCCATATCTCGCCGAGCGTGCGGCACTGCGGGGCCAGACATGCGAGATTAGCGCCGGTCCTGTACGCGCGGGAGCCGGTCCGAAAACGGGGCCCCATGCAGAGCGGCTCGAGCCTACGAAGCAGGGCTAATAAGTACGAGGCTAGACGGGGCGAGCTTGATAAAAATAAAGAATCTGAATCCAGGGGGGAGAGAAAAGATCACTATTGAAGAAGGGTTTGCGGCAGACAAAAAGTGAGAAACACTGACGGTCACCGAGGGCATGAGATATCACGGAAGAGGAGAGTACCAATCCTCGCAGCCCGAGAGCTCGCAGTACTGCGGGGAGGAAAACCAGAGCGGTACGAGAAACTGAAAGCCAGACTGGTGGAGCAAGAACAACACTAATTGGGCAAAAACACAGACTAGCGAGTCGAAAAACCGGCTAGGTAGTCAATAAACCAGGCAGTTATTAATAAACCAGGCAGTTATTAATAAACCAGGCAGTTATCAATAAACCAGGCAGTTATCAATAAACCAGGCAGTTATTAATAAACCAGGATAGTAAAAAATTGCGATAGTGAAACAGATAACTACACTAGTGACACAATAAAGCAGACTAGTAAATATTAGATCAGGCTGGTTAAACAAAACCCAAACCAGTGTAACACTGTGATGAAAGAAAAGCCCCAGATAGTGACCGAAAAAACGCTACTTAAACAATCAACCAGAGTAGTGAACAGAATACTACCCCAGTGAAACAATAAGCCAGACTAGTGGTGGATTTACCCTAACTAGTGAAACGGTAAGCCTAGTTAAACAATGAACCACCCTAGTGAAGCAAAAAACCAGATAGCATCAACAAAACCCTAGTTTAGTGAAACAAATAAACACTCGTGAAACAAATATGAGGACTGTCCAGGCCGTGACTAACGGAAGGGGACGGGCCGAGCTAAGACACTTGGTACGTAGCTGGGAGCTGTTTAAAGGTTTTTTATATATATTTGCTATATAGTTTTGCCCCTTTAATCAGATGAATCTACCAAAAAGAAAAAAAAAAACACTCGTGAATCGATAAACACTGGTGGAACGATCGCGGGATCAGCTGGCCCTCGCGGAAGCGAGCCGCGCGCGGCGTCCCCCCAAATACGAGCCAACACCCTGCCTGTGGTGGAAACCGGCCGGTTGCCTGGCCGTCCAAAACACGCCACTTTTCTGCAAAATCGCAGCGTCCCAAAAAAAGACGCAAATTCCGGCAAACGACACCAACTCCCGGCCAGCGACGCAATGTCGTGGCTGCTGGCCAGCGTGGGGACAGGAGGCTGCATTTATTACCGAAGAATTGAACATTCTGGGGAGCCAGGAGCCGCGGCTCGCATGGAAGCGCGGCGGCGGCCCGAGGCGCTGTCACTGGGGCCGCGGGCCAGCACACAGGCCAAAAATGAAAAAAGGGCCCCGCACCGATCCCGAGATACAAGGCCGGGCCGCACCGAGCCACGAGCCACGCTGGCTGTGTCTTTTGTTTTTTTTTTCGGATATTCAGCTTGAACAAAACGAAAGTAAAAAAAAGAAAAAGAAAAAGAGCAATGGCTTGCCGCGCTGGGTAATTTGCTGCCTGGACCCAAGTCTCTGTGGGGCGGGCGCCTGTTATTCTGCTGCTGCAATAATCGTGTTTTTGATTGCCTTTTCCATGGACGGCGCCATATGGGGCCAGACGGCAGGCGGCGCTGCGGCCGATGCGCGGCTCGCTGTGCCAATATGGCCCCATGGCTGGCGGGCCTACCATCTGCGTTTTCGTGATTTTTTGTCCTTGGTCCATGCTCCATGTTTTTCATGTTTTGTTTTCTCTTTTGACGGGATTCCTGCTTGGGTTTTCCCTAATCGTTTTTGTTTCCTGCCACTTTTACTCTCACTCTCATTACCTTCAATTCTCACTCTCACTCTCACTGTCACTCTCACTGTCACTCTCACTCTCACCGTAAATCCTCACCTTAAATTCTCACCTTAAATTCTCACCTTAAATTCTCACCTTAAATTCTCACCTTAAATTCTCACCTCTAATTCTCACCTCTAGTTCTCACCTTTAATTCTCACCTTTAATTTTCACCTCTAGTCTCACCTCTAGTTCTCACCTTTAGTTCTCACCTCTAATCCTCACCTCTAATCCTCACCTTAAATCCTCACTCCCACTCTCCCACTCCCCTTTCTTTTCCCTCTTCTCCCTCCCCCTTCTCCCTCCCCTTTCTCCCTTCTCCCTCACCCTCCCCTGGCCTTTTTTCTCGCTTGCACTGACAGCTGCGCGCCCGGCCGGCACGTGCCGCCACAGCCCTCAAGACAGCGCGCACCTCCCCCAAACTTCCCCACCACCACCACTTTCCTCCATGAACACCGGCGGTGCACACGACTTGGACGCTGCTGGCAGCGGCTCGCCGGCCGCTGGGGCGCCGGCCCAGGGCCCCCGGCGCAGCCCCGGCCCGAATCGGCCCGCGCACGCCCGCACCGCCCCCGGCGTCAACTTCGGCCTAGCCGCCCTGCTCAGGGACCTGGCCACCTTCTGCTACGACGACCCGCTTTTGTACCTGAACCTCCAGGTGGCGGGCGCCGCGGCGCTGCACGCGGCCGGTGGGCCTGGCGCGGATGCGCGGGGCCTGGCGCCTCCGTGGCCCATGCCCGGCGCGCTCCTCGGCCTGCCCGACGACGCCATGGACTTGGACTCGATGGCGCCGCCCGACCCGGCCGCGTACTTCCCCGCGCCGGACGGGCCCGGCGGTGCCTGGGACGGCGGCCCGGGCGGCGGCTGGGCAAGCGGGCTGCTGCCCCAGGGCGCTTGCTATGGCGCCAGCAGCGCCGCTCCCCTGTTTGCCCCGGCCCCGTTCGCAGGCGGCCTGCTCTCCGCCGACGCGTTCTTTAGCCCGTCGTTTGCGAGCGGGGCCCCCGCGTTTGGCCATGAGCAGGAGCCCGGCTTCACCCACGAGCCGGCGCTCTCGCTCGGCTCCACCGCCACCAGCCCGGGCGCCAGCCTGCTGGGCCAGCCCCGCCACGAGCCGCTGTGGGCGCCGTTTGCGCCGTCGCTACGTGTCCCGGACGCCGCGTCCGTGTACCACGCGGCGCTGGAGTTTGCGCTGTTCGAGTACTCGGGCCCGGACGAGTACGCCGACACCACGTTCCTCGACGACGACACCACCACGTACGCCACGCTGGCGTGCGGGCCCGCGGAGCCCCGGGACTCCGCCAGCCACCGCACGTCGGTCCTGGCCGCGGCCAACGAGTTGCTGCCCTTGACGACCACCACGTCCTTCACGCCGTCCGCGACGTCGCTACATCTGACGCAGCCGTCGTTCTTCTCCGCGCAGCAGTTCTGGCGCACGCTGCTCGACCAGCCGCCGGCGCCGCTCGGCCGCGGCTCCACGGACTTCTACCTGCGCCGCCGGCTCAGCATCGAGAGCACGGTCTCGGGTGCCAACGCGCCCGCGCGCAGCCAGCGCTCGCTCGCCAGCTACTTCCATTTCCGTGACCGCGAGGGCAAGCTGCCCGTGCCGCGCGGCGACTCGCCCGAGTGGCCGCCGCCGCGCCACTCCATCCGCAGCATCTTCAAGACCGGCTCCGCGGGCCTCTCCGTGGCCGAGAACGACTCCCACCTCGGCCCGGAGCCCGCGCCGGCCCCAGACGACGTACCGCTCGCCGGCCCCGAGGGCCTTGCGCCCAAGAAGGGCCGCCGGTCCAAGCGGCACTTGTTCACGCGGTTCAAGCTGGCCAAGGGCTACGACGCGCCCGGGGCCAAGCAGGAGCCGGCAGACGGGTCCGTGGACATGGGCTCCGACTCAGAGCCCAAGGATGACTTCCGCGGCCCGTTGGCTGCGTTGCACCACACGGACTCGGCGGGCCTGCAGACCAGCGAGCCGAATCAGCCGCCGGACTACGCGTCGTTGTTCTCCGGCGTGGGCAAGCGCCGCAACCTCGTCGGCAAGAAAAGCAAGAAGAACGCCGATGCGGCCATGAGGGCGGACGGCAGCATCAAGGCGGAGAGCGCGGGCGAGAGCGTGGGCTTGGACTCGTGGGTCTCCAGCAACGAGCAGTCCGGGGACTGTTCCCTGGCGCGCAGCATGCCCCGCTCGCTGCATTCCTTCAACTCCCGCGAGTCCGGCTCGCAGGACCAGCCGCTGGCGTCCGCGCCGCTGGCCTTTGCCAACGCGTCCAAGCGCATCCTTGGGTCCCGTCTCATGAAGAAAAAGGCGGCCGTCAACAAGGGCGAACGCTCGTCAAGCGACGTGGTCGAGGTGGATCTCCAGTCGCTAGATCTCCCCGACAACACGGAGGTGTTGTCCAAGCCGCGTCTCCTCAGCAAGACGCGCGGGCGTAAGGAGGACCGTGAGGCCGATATGGTGGACCAGTCCAAGATCTTCGTGTGCGGGTATTGCGACCGCCGGTTCAAGCGCCAGGAACACTTGAAACGCCACTTCCGGTCCTTGCACACGACCGAGAAGCCCTACGACTGCCCCATCTGCCAGAAGAAGTTCAGTCGTACCGACAACCTCAACCAACACTTGAAAATACACAAGCAGGAGGAGGAGCAGGCGGCCGCCGCCGCCTTGCATGCGGGGGAACACATCGAAAATTAATAGAGAGACTGTTTTGTTATATAGAATATCAGAGGAAAAGGATATGCGGGAAACACATCGAAATGTAATTGAGAGACTGTTTCTATATAGTACAATACCAGAGAAGAAGGCTATGCGGGGAATATAGAGACTGTTTTGTTATGTACTATGCTACTAAGCACTACATGGTAAGTGGTAAGTGGTGAGTAATGAACAAAAACTAGAGGGAAATGGGAAATACTAGCTACTTAAGGATGATAAGTGAATGGTAATACTAAAGGCGAAATATTCAGTTGGTGATTGGTGATACTAACACTCAGTACAAATAGTAACGGTGATACTCAACACTAAAGGCGAAATACTAATAGGAGATGGAGGATATCCAACGATATTCCCTTTATGCTAGTACTGAATGCTGGATGGCAAATGGTGAATAGTCAATGTTGAAAGGTCAATGGTCAATGTCGAATGGTAAGTACTAATTACCCATTGAATATTGGTGAATGGCAAATATAACTACAAATACTCACATATCATAATCAATACGAATAGTCACTGGCGATGCTAAATACTCAAGGCAAAACGATCTTAAGCGAATGGTGATATTAAATACATGTAGCAACTGATGATACTAAACAATACAAACTTCTCATCAACGATGAATGAAAGCTGGAAAATTAAAGACGAGAGACAAAGAAATAGTGAATACTCAAGGATAAACGTTACATACCGAGTACTAAATGGTAAATGGTAAATAGTATACACTCAATGATCATGGAACATGCGAAATGGAAAATACGTAATGGAAAATACGGAATGGAAAATACGGAATGGAAAATACGGAATGACTACTGAATACTAGATGATAGATGAGAGTCAGAATCCATCGGATAAGAATCAGGGACATATTCTTATACAGCAGAAGATGCAAGAGTGCTAGCATCTAGCACAGCACGGTGGAACGTGTTTCTTGTGCACTCGCAGGTGTATGAATTTGCTCTTTGATATCTTGTCTTGTCTCATCTGAAACTTTAGACAAAAAAAAGAATTAGGTAGCATAAGACATAAACACCCAGAATATTCCAACAATTTCAAAAGGCTTTGTGGGGAACACATTAAAATAGAGTAAGATATCAGAGCAGAGCTGTATCGATATATAATCGAGGCGTCTTTTTATACAGAACATCAGAGCAAAGCTGTATCGATACAGAATCGAGGCGTCTCATTATATAGAACATCAGAGCAGAACTGTATCGATACATAATCAGGACGTCTTGTTATATAGAACATCAGAGCAAAGCTGTATCGATACAGAATCGAGACTTCGTATTATATAGAGCATCAGAACAAAGCTGTATCGATACATCATCGAGACGTCTTGTTATATAGAACATCAGAACAAAGCTGTATCGATACATAATCGAAACTTCGTATTATATAGAACATCAGAGCAAAGGCTGCATCTCACATAATCAAGACGTCTTGCTATATAGAATATCAGAGCAAAGGTTACATGTCACATAATCGAGGCGTCTTATTATATAGAACAACAAAACAAAATTCATCGATACATAATCGAGACGTCTTGTTATACAGAACATCAGAGCAGAGGCCACCCGCCAGTGCCCAGAGCAATCGGGCCATGCCCCAGAGAATGCGTATCCAGTTGCAAGCGCCCCGGCGCCAAACCCAAAAGTAAGAAGTAAATGCGATAAAACATGGAAGAAATGAAAATGCAGGCGTCGGTGGCGGGGCCCGGCGGGCGGGAGCCACGGAGAGAGGCACAATGGCCGGTGCGGAGACGCCCGCGGACAGCACAGCAGAGCGCGAGTGGCGGGTCCTTGCCCGTTGATTGGCGGGCCGCTCTGGGCGCTGGCCAGCTGCAGACAAGCGCGCCAGACCCGCGTCCTCATGGCCCGAGACACAAGTCCTCGTTGAGGCGGTTCGACGTCAAGCCGTCGAGGACGAGCTCGCCCTTGGCGCGGTGCGCGCCCGGCTTGGACACGGCGCCCGAGTCGTCGTGCGGCCGCAGGCACACGCCGTTGGCAAGGTGCTTCTTGTAGCCCTCGATGCGCGTGAACTCGCGGCCGCAGTGGCAGCGGCAGTGCTTGGACACCATGTGCGACTTGACGTGGCGGTTCAAGTCGTGCTGGCGCACGAAGCTCTTGGGGCAGTAGGCGCATGTGAACGGACGGTCGCTCAAGTGCGTCTGGATGTGCGAGCGCACGTTGTAGCGGCGGGTGAACTTCTTGCCGCAGTTTTGATACACGCAAGTGAAGTTCTTGTCCGCGTCCGGGCCCTGCCAGTACTTGTCGAGCTCGCCGGGCGGGAGGAGCGACGTCTTCTTCATCAAGCGCTTGGGCGAGAGCTCCTGGATGGCCTTGCGCACGTCCTGGGTGGCCTTGCCGCTGGGCGAGATGACGGGGCTCCACTCGAGCGTGATGCGGCTGGCGCGGGGCGTGCTGCGGCGCGGCGAGCCGGCGCCCGCCTGGCCCGGGCTCGCCTGGCCCGGGCTTAGGAGATACGCGCCCGCGGGCGCCGCGGGCCTCTGCGGCGTGAGCTGCACGATGGTCTCGTTGGCGTCCACGAGCCCGTCGTCCGGCGGGCTGTCGGGCCCGCGGCCGGCCGGGCGCACCGGCGACAGCCGCGGAAGCTCGCGCGGCGGCGACGAGCCGAATACGCTGGGCGGCGACGAGCCGAGCACGCCGGGCGCGTCGTAGTAGCCGTCGCTGAAGAAGTGCGTGGCGGGGAAGCCGTGCCCCGCGGCGGGCGGCGACGCGCAGGGCAGGAGTGCGGCGGGCGGCGACGCGCAGGGCAGGAGTGCGGCGGGCGGCGCCAACAC